TGGGGTGGTTGTGACCCAAGTGCAGGACCGGGCAGTGAGCCTTGTTGAACCTCGTACCCTTGGCTTTGGTCCATCAATCCAGCCTGTCCAGATCCTTCTGCAGAGCCTTCCTGCCCTCTGGCAAATCAACACTCCCTAATAAAAACTATCATTCACAAAGGATGGGCTGCTCTTTCATAATTGGAATGACAGACAGACAGGAATATTCCCTGCACATAGTATCTCAAAACCTGTATTAGTGAATCTTAGCACACTTTTGAAAAGATGTATATTTAGTGCTTTTTAATTGGTTCTGGCCAACCTATTGAACTTAAGGATGGAGCTATAGGAAGTCCTGCAGACCAGCTGATCTCTACAAGCACCTGCCTTGTATCCAGCATTTGTTAGCATCCCAATGTTCTGCAGTCAGCTTGTAGTACCCTGGTGTGAAAGAACTGGTAGGGTAAAAAGACCATGTGTCTAAATGTGGATGTCACTTAATAGTAACATTTTTTGCCAAATCAGACACTTTGCCGGTTTGGCTGCTAGATTTTTTCATGGATTCGAAGAGGTATAGTTGCTCTACTGTAGGCTCTGTTGTTTGCCTGATTTATAGTGCTTGAAGATCTGCTTCCAGAAATTTACATAAGGAAGTCAGGGCTCATGATGAATTCCAAGGCTTAAACTACAGTTGTTTGCAAATAGTCTTGAATTATGGAGGACAAGTAAGCCAAAATATACAATACAAATATATCAGTGTATATAAGCAATATATTAGCCAAATATGGCAGTGTACACAGAGAATTATTTTTCTTCCTTAGTGTCTTAGTCTCTATTCCTACTGTTTCTTCCTTTTCCTGCTAGGAAAAATTCCTCTGTCTCTATAGACATTATAGCGTGTTATTACAGAATTTCTACCTATCAAGCCAGTAGATAACTTTAGAGTTAAAATGTGAATAATGTTTTGCATTTGATCACTTGAAGACAGTATTCATGAGCAGAGAGAGTATATATTACCGGAGAATTTGAGATTCAGGCAGGAAAGACTATGTAAAATGAAATGGCGTGTGTTGCACAGGAGGTAAGTCCAGTTGGTTGTAAGAGGCCTTTCTGGATCTTTAAATCTCTGGAATCTAAGTGATAAAAAGGAAACACAACATGTTAGAACTCCCAGTGCCACGGTTGGGTCCTCCTCTGTTTGCTGTGAAAATCAAAGGATTGCACTGAGCCCAGCAAATTCTATGTCTGTAGTTAAGGGCAAATGAGAGTAGGATGTGGTGCTCCATGCTAAAATTGGGTTTGTCTACAGTAAGTATATATGTTTTGGTTTTTTTTTTTTTTTAGTGGAAGTAGTGCAATGATGTTTGAATATTTGCCTTGTAATTCCCAGAAGAAAACATGACTTCTGAATGAATATATTGCAGCCAGTTTTCCTAGAGAGAACAGACTGAGATCGGGTGGGCATATTCAGTCTTCGGTTGCATAAAACATGAGTACAGGGAGGAATGATCTGTTCTGTGTGTCTGTCACAGGATGGAAGAAGTGGTCTGAAAATGCAACAAGGAAATCATAGATTACATGTTGGGAGCATTTCTAACTAAAGCCAGAAAGGGCTGCAATAGATTGCCTTGGAGGATTGTAGATTTGCCACCAGCAGTGGTCTTCAAGAACAGATTGGTCAAACGTTTAACAAAAATCCAATAAATCCTGCTTTGCTGTAGGAAATGGACTAAAAGAATTCTCTGTTTCTATGAGGGCTGAAGATTATATAAGGTGGTGTTAATTTGCAGGATCAGACCTGGAAAAAGTTTTGGGTTTCATAACTGTTATTCTGCATTTGGAAAATGGATGATGGTTAGTTTCTGAATGGGCTTTCAGAAAAGTGAAATTCTTTGAACACAATGTATTAGAATATTTCGAAGGAATGGTGATAACCCATAAATGGCAAAATTATAATGTTAGGAGTGTGAACTCCATGACTAATCTCTGTTTGTATGTCTGTGAAATAACATAGTTACTGTCTAGGAAGCCCCTAGCCCCCTTGTTTTAAAAAATTTTAATATTTAGAAATATTTTTAGAGGAACAATTTGATAGTACTGGACAAAGTTGAAACTATAAATTCAAGAGTAGTATATGAGACAAAATTATTTTTCATAAATGAGGATATGTTGTGCACTCTAAAATGTAGCTGACAAGCCCAAAACATGACCTCTTATTGTTGTGGACACCAGGTGAACTGTCTAACATTTGTTTGTGGCCTGTAGGGTCTTTATTTTTCAGTTTCTTCATAAAATGGAGCAGGAACTGCATAGTCATATGAGACTAAATCCTTGTGTGCTCTGAAGTTGCTTTGGGAAGGAGGAAGGGGCTGTTGCCAAGATAAGTTGTGCAGCTCGATACCAAAACCCATCTTGTGCGAGAAAGATGGAGGCCAGATGGGTTGGTTTGTGGTGGCAGCCCCTTGCTTTCCATTGTCATCTGTATTGTGGCTTCCCATTGTGCTCTCGTATCGCTCACATTCCTTGCTGACCATGGTTACATGTTCCATCTCAATAGAGGATGGGGAAGAAAAAAGAATTCCGAGTAGTTTAACATCTTGCCATCCTGAGCTGTTGGAAAACAATCCTAAGTCCTATGGCTTTTAATTCTCACACTAAGATGTTTGTTGTTGCAAATGAATCGTATTTATGTTTATGATTAAGCCAGTCCCTCTTTCTAGATTCACACATCACTGATCAACGGTAGGCCTAGCGCTGATGATCCTTCACAAAAGCTTTTGGAGTTTACTTCTGCACGATACATTCGCCTACGACTGCAGCGTATTAGAACCCTTAATGCTGACCTCATGACTCTCAGCCATAATGATCCTAAGGAACTAGACCCCATTGTTACCAGAAGGGTAAGCTGGTTGTTCGTAAATGGTATTCAGTATGACTTGATGTGAGAGCCTTTTCTGATTTATTTGAGGAGGAGGCAGTACTCGATCCCTGCTATTCAGAGTTGTTTTGATAGGTTGTTAAATAATTCTGTTATTAACAACGATACCTTGTCAGAAATTACTTTGAAAAATTGCCTTTTAGAGATTGTTTTTTATTTATTTGCTTTTTGTTTTATTTGTTTGTGTAAATGAATTATGCTAGGAACGGTGTTTATAAGGCTTTATCAAAATAAAAAATATGGTTTGCCTGATGGAAATGTCACTTGAGGTTGTTCTTGAGGTGGCTGCAGTACCTTTTCTGGACTATCAAGGATTTCAGGACCCAGGGCTCTGGTTCATAAAAATAATTATTTGAAAATGTTGGCATTGAGACTTTTGATGTCTACTGAGAGTTTTCTTCATTTTTTTTAAGACTGTTGTAATCAACTGTTTTAAAGCCCGTGAATTAATAATGTAAAACACACAGAATTCTGAGATCATTACCTGATCTTTACACGTTTGATATTGAAACCGAGGAAACTGAAGCACCAAGCACTTAGGCTGACTTCTTCAAGCTCTCAGAAAAGTTCGGTATTGGAGCCCCTAATAGCAATACCTACCACGATTAACTGTTTTGCAGTATTTCTGCTTTGTCTTTTGCCATTTTGGCCCTCTTCTTAATTTTCCTGAGACCCATAGGTTAGGACATCAGTGGCTTCAAGTTTTTCTATGAAGGTAGACTTTCTGATGAGGACAGAAGAACATGAGAAGTGTTTTCTCTTCTCCTTCCTTTGTAGCTCTTTGGCTTGAAGAACATCTGCAGGCAATTCTTCCTTGCACAGTGACAGGACGCTTGCAATTTGTGGCGTCTGTGATACAGGCAGTCCTTGTGCATTGACATTGCTTCTGTGAGGTCTTGCTGAATAGCTGGGTACAGAAGGGAGAAAGGAACTTGGATTTGGTCAGGGTTTGGTGCATACTTTCAAGGCAGCCCCACTCTTACCTCTCTCATGGAGCTGCAGCATTTCTAAAGTGTAAAATCTGGATCTTCTGCTTGTTCTGTTTGCCCCAGATGGGAATTGCTAGTATGGAGACTGCAAGTGCAGAGTATTGGACAGGTGTTCCAGCTGTGCCTTGCTGGCCATAGGGAAGTGGTTAATGCGCAGCCTGAGCAGGTGAGATGTTCCTGTGGAGCAGGCTGGTTGACATTTAGATCTGTTGATAGTATCGTAATATCAAGAAATACACCCCAAAAAGAAAGGCTCGACATGGAAGCATACAAACATACAGCTGGGAAACAAGGATTGTTGAGGACAAAAGTTCCCATTGCTTTTGTAACACACACAGTTGTGCAAGCCAGGGCTTAGTGCTACCCCACCTAGCACCACTTAGTGCAGTTTTGCACGAAAAGCAACACATCTTCATCTTCACAAGACATGGGTTTTATTGGACAGGGTTCCCAAATCCTGATGTCTCACCTTGTGTCTCACTGTGCAACCAACTAAAACCAAGAAAATCACTTTCAGCTTTCTGGATTGTATTTTATTGTTGTTGAAGACTTTACATCCAGTTGTTGATACCAGTTGTGTTTAGTTTCTTGTACATAGTCTTGTAAAAGGGCTGATGCAGAACTTTTCTAAGTGTTTAAGAGCACCTTCATTTCTGTAGTCTATTTATTTATTTCTGTCTGTAGCAGTTGATTAGCATTAGTCTCTTACTCAACTTCAAGCTGCACACAGCTGCTGAGCCATATAGTGTGAGTTTTAAGAAAACAAAACAAAGGAGATGAAGCAGGGAATGCAGTGAGAAATACAGCTTTACTGTTGTCCTACTTTTCTCAGTTTGGGTGTCCTTCCCTGTAGTTAAGGACTTACTGTTCATGATACATCCCTGAATGTTTTTTGTAATTCAAACCCGTAAAATTAAAAAAAAAAAAATACTAAAATGCTAAACATAATAAAAAATTTAAAACCATAAAAAATTAAGTATGAAATCAAAGAGGCTGGTTTGCTCCAGCTCCAAGATCCTTCAAAGAAATAACATTCCAGGAGTCAGCATGTCTGACCACCCAGGGCCACCTTGTCTTCCTGAACCAGATGACTGTAGGGTTGTTAGGTCAGAGTCTTGAACTCTTTCCTTAGAAGTATTGTCAAAAAATGTTTCTTTTTCATTCCCCTGTAGTACGTACTTCCCAGGATACAAACAAGCCAACCATGTTGATACTGCAGCTGTAACTGAACCCAGATGGTCATTTCCTGCCTCTTCCTTGCCTTGAAAATTAAATCCTTTCCTTATGTATGTTGCTTTTGCTCACCACCTGGCAATATTAATGGATTGTACTCTGCTATATCACCAATTTTTAAGCTAAGAATTTGGATAGGAAGATGGACTGCCTACACACTAGTAGCAAAGAGCTGCTCTGGAAGCAAGTGCACAAACTGGTTTTAAGGGAAGGCAGAGTTCCTGTTTTAAGAAAGCATACTCTTACTCCCCAGGCTGAAACTAAAGTATAGCAATTTGTTATGCTTCATGGCTGCTTATGTGGTGAAAAAAGCATTTTTTTTACAAGTAAATTTTGGCTAAGGTCACATTTGGTGGTCTTTCCTGAAGCTGAGGAATTGTGCATACTTATTTAAAGTTAAAAGTCGCTTATTGTTTCATTCCAGTGAGGAAAAACATGGGAAGAAAAATCACAAGTGGAAGGTTTCCCAAGTGGCAAAAATTCAAAGCTGCTTTTATTTTCAAGTATTTCTTTTATTTTTCAAGTCACAGATAGTCAAATGCCGGTATTTTATTTTCCAGAGTAGAAGCCAAGATGTAAATACATGTAAAAGTCTTTTATTCATCCCTTTTTCAACTTTGTTTTTTGTAGTACTACTATTCAATAAAGGACATATCTGTTGGTGGCATGTGTATTTGTTATGGCCATGCTCGAAGCTGCCCTCTGGATGAAATCACAAAGGTATTCTTTAATCTCGTTAGTTCATTTCCACAAAACAGCTTTTGCAATTTAGATTAAAAAAACGGACTTTGCCTAAGGAGAATGAGAAAGAGGAAGCTACAAGAGATCTTACAATATGGTGCACACAAATTATTTGCTATAATTTTCTTCCTTGTCTGTGCAAGTGTATCTTGAGTCTCTGGTAATTTAACTTCCTGGAAGTAAGCTCTCTTTGGCATTAAATTTAAACAATTCAAGAGCCATAACAACAATCATTCTCTCTTGCAACACTGGAGATTTGTCCCTACTCTTCTAGAAAGGCTATTCCCCAATAGCTGGTATAGTCTGGTTGAGCAATCTAATGCTAATTGTGGGGTATTTGTGACTTTTAATATTTTTTGGAATAAGTCTGATATTAGGTAGGCTTTTGGCAACATTGATTAAATTATCCATTAAAAAATACTTCAAGGAAGTCATTTTTTTATTCTTAGAAATTGCAGTGCCAGTGTGAACACAACACATGTGGAGAGAGCTGTAACAAGTGCTGTCCAGGCTACCACCAGAAACCGTGGAGGCCAGGAACCATTTCTGCTGGGAACAAATGTGAGAGTAAGTATGCACAGAGGTTTAGATAGTTTCATAAAGGCTTATTATTTTCTTGTTTGAGGTTGCTTTTCATACAGATCTATACTAATTCCCAAGAAAAATCCACAAACCATTAACTGTCTTCATGGGATTATTCAAAGGTAGAAGACCTAATCATAACTTATAAGATAATTTTAAATACTCTATCCAGTATGACTCCCTGGCTAGCAGAGTTGTCATGTAGTAAAGCTTTCAGAGTCTCTTTTTCAAAGAGACTTGGGGATTTATTATAGTCCTGTAAAAACTTAGCAGATTTGCATCAGTTATTTTTGTTAGCTACTTGAAATGCAAATTTCTTATGTTGATCATAAATTTTGTCAGATAAACAACTTTGTTCTGATAACAAATGTTTTGAAAGAAGCTCCTTATTGGCCAAATGCATCTCAAACTGTTTGCTAGATTGACTTGAAGATTGACTTGAGCTGTGCCAGTATGACTGAATGTGTTGCTAGGGCTACTTAGTGCATTTTCTCCTCTCTTCACATCACTAATGCATAGCACAGGCTTCACAAAATTAAGAACCTGTTAGGTGAAATTTACAGTTGCGAATAGAAAAGTGCTCTTTTTAGTTGAAGTCTTTATATGAGTCTTAATGTCACTCTTTGGAAAGTAGGTGTTTGACTGTTTGGACTGAAATATCCTCTAATTTAAATCAAACTTATACTCGTGTACTGACGTTATTGACTTCTCACACTTTTGTCTATAATACAAATAAGAGAAGCATTAGGAGGATTTTCCTCTGTAATGTAGAGGACAGAAAATGAAAGAATAGTTATTGCTAATAGCACTCAGCAGTGTCGACATCAGTCCTAACAGGATTGTCTTAGTGGGATCTACAGAATACCATTAGAAACTGTGCTATTAAAGCAGTGACAGTGGTTTTGAAATGTGCTTAATTACTAAGAAATACAGTGTATCAAGACTGCTGAAGCATATACCATCGTTAAAGGGAAAAAAACACACTTTCAAGATGCTATGATATGTTGTTCTCCTTATGTTTTCCACTTTGAAAAATGTCAGTGTTATAGGAACTGTTATACAAAAAAAATTAAATTGTAAACAGAAAGATTAATTTCTTTTCCATTCCTTCTCAGAGTGCAACTGTCATAACAAAGCAGAAGATTGTTATTACAATCAGAGTATTGCAGATCAGAAAAGGAGCATGGATATTCATGGCCAGTATATAGGAGGTGGCGTGTGTTTAAACTGTACTCAACATACTACTGGGATCAACTGTGAAATGTGTGCTGATGGATATTTTAGACCACACAAAGTAAGATTTGGAAAATACTATTCTAATGTTTTGGTGAATTACAACATGATGCAATGGATGTGTGTTTCAGCTGATTGTAACTGACATATATACACACGTGAATTACAACATGATGCAATGGATGTGTATTTCAGTTGATTGTAACTGACATATATACACATGTACATATTTATCAGTTGCAGAATAGATAAGAACTAGAGTTTTTTTTTATAGATGACATACCACCAAAACGTTCAGAGAAAAACAAAGTAGCAGAATAGATAAGAACTAGAGTTTTTTTTATAGATGACATGCCACCAAAACGTTCAGAGAAAAACAAAATGCTTGTCCAGTTGTGTGGGAGGGCAGGTCAAGCTGTTGGAAAAGAAAAGAATACGTGAAGGTGAAACTTGAAGTCCTAGTCTGGAAATGTAGATGTTCTGACAGGAAACCCATTTCTTCTGTGGATAAAGCCCTAAAAAGTGCTAGTATTGAAGTTTCCGTGTCTTCAGAAGTGCCAAAATTATGTACCATCTTGTATCAGCCCATTTCATCCAGAATTAAGAAGGACAATTACATGGTTCTAAGATCAGACTTGTCTCATGAGATGTTGCAATAAATATTCTTCTTGACATGATTCTTGTAGAATGTGCTCTCTGAGCCTGGGTACTTCCCAGTTTATTGACAAGTGTCACTCTTTGGAAAAAGGATCTGAACTCCACCAAAGACATTTGCTAAGATGTGACTAACAGAGTTAAACTTACGAACTTCCCACAATGTTAGAGCTCTCTGTGTAATGAGACATAGTCAACCAAATTTCTACTCTGCAAGGTCTTGCTTTGGCAGGTTCATGCATATTTTGGAAAACCCATGCTTAAGAAATCCAGCATCAATTGGTGCAGAGAGCAAGGGTGAGTCTGTAGGAATATGGTTAGACAGCAGGTACAGCTCATCCAAAGTAGTAAGCTGGAGTCAGAGAGTCTGATGCACTTGCTGGGAGAAGCATTGAAGGAAAGTCTCCAATCAACTAATAGCTGATAAATGTGTATCTAGAGGTCATTACTGATTTGTTCTACATCTGAAGCTTCTCAAAGGGGAATTTTCCCTGAAAGAAAATAAAATCCTTGCCATATGAATTGCATTGCCTTATATTTCAAAGATGTATAGATTATGAAGTCAGAATGAATCTTCATGAATAGATAATCTCTCCTCCCATTGAACACAGAGCCAAGGATTTCTTTCATTTCCTTCCTCTTTGAACCAGAGTATCTTTGCAAAAAGCATTCATTCTTGCCTTGCACATTTCCATAATCTTTGGCAAACCATCACAGTGGTTAATTGCTGTTTTGTTTTTTTTAGTGATAGACAATTACTATACATTTGTCTGTGCTATTGAAGATCCAATTTTGTTCCCATGTTTAAGTTTTTCTAGGCTGCAATCCCCTGATCTTAAACTAGTCGCTTGATCTGTTGCTGCATATTAGCTTTTCCGGTCTTTATTCATATTAGTTCCAGTGGTCCCAGACAAGAAACAGATGTAACTTTACTTTTCTCAGTTAACAATTTGAGAATGTGACAGAGCACACTTACTTCGTAGATTTCTCCCTATGAGGATCACCCCTGCTATCCCTGTGGCTGCGACCCGTTTGGCTCTCTGAGTTCTGACTGCGTTAAAGATGAGCACCATTCTGACTCACAGCGTGGTAAGGCAGTGGGAAACGCCTGTTCTCTGAACTTCAAATCTGGCTGTATTTCGGGACATTGAAGTTTGAGGGAACAGTGTCTACTTGTGTAGTTAGGTACAGCTTCAAAACAATGGTAAATATTTAGGAAGGAGAAGTGAGGCATAACATATTTTCAGGATATAAGGTATGTCACTTCCCTGAATGTGTTGTGTGGGGATGGGGGGCTCTGTGTAAAATAATATGAAGGACTGAGTTCTAACACTGTTGTTTATGAATGCTGTTACAGCTGTCACAAAGTCCATTTTGCTGTGGTTTCTGTGCATCTGGTACTCTAAACATGAAAAAAAGATGGTGAGACTGGCATCATGCCAAGTATATGTGTGGAATATAACATGGAGTGTAATAAAAAAGAAATAAATTACTTGTACCCTCTGAGACATCTTGAATGCAGCCTACTCCCTGCTCTTATTTATTTGTTTCTCTGTTTTTGCTTTTGAAGGGACTTGGCCAGGTCAGTGTCAATGCAGAGAAGGTTACACAGGAGAAAAATGTGATCAGTGTGCATTTGGATATCGGGGCTATCCAAACTGCCTGCGTTGTAACTGCAGCCTGATTGGTAGCATTAATGAAGATCCATGCACAGAACCTTGTCTTTGCAAAGTGAGTATTAAACTGTCATTTTTGCTTAATCGAATCTGTGGATTGATTTGTAAAGCCCTTTTTAATAAGGAGACTTACGTCATTAACTGGAGAGATTGCTCCTTTTATAGGAAATAACCTGGTGTAACTGTACACCTGACAACCTGGAACTTAAAATTACTAACTGTTCTCTGTACTGAAAAATATGGTAATTTATGTTGAATAGTTCTGTATGTTACTGATACACCATTTTCTAAAATAATGGACCAGGCTGACAGTAAAATCAAATAACTGCAAATGTGAGTGTGAGGGAGAATCACAGAGACAATGACAGTGTGCCTCGCTGGGTATGGTTTTAGGGATGAGCTGATACTTCTCTTCAAAATTACAGACTTCTTGTAAAGAAAGGATGTGTTTATAACATCTGCTTTGTGTGAAGAAACAGCATGCATTTGGAAAGAACTATTGGAACAATTACTTTAGATGTATGTATGAAATATGATTTAATTATTCAATTACAAAATATAAACCGTTAAAAAAGAGAGCAGTTTTGCAGCCTCCTTTTTTTTGTAAATATCCAAACCCCTTGAAATATCTTGCAGCTGTAGATTCTGCTGAACTTTATTGCAAAGCTGTGTGTCAATATTTAAAGAAGTTACACTTAATTTTCTGAACCAAATGTTAGCTAGTAGATTATGTATTTGTTGCCAAGTATGACAGTGAACAGGAGCCAAAAAAACCCAAACCATGGTTTGCCAGTTTTTCTGAAACTTCTTAGTCTTTTTGCATAATTTATCTGATCGAAAATATCAAACATATAAATAACCAGAGTCTGGAAGAAAGAAATAGCTCCAATAGCCAGTTTAAATATGAAAAAGGAGATACAACCATTTTGCCTGATTTTGAGCTAGACTAACGCTAGATGAGCCAGTGCAGCTAACTGGTGAAAATTTTGGTATAAACTGAATGAGAAACTGTCCCCATTCAGTGCTATCATGGGCATGAGTCTGGCATACAGAATTTTTAGGCCAGGTCACTGAAAGTGTCACCAGCCAGCAACTCACCTATAGAGGTGAAAGGAAGGAAGGAGAAAAGTTGTGTGCTCCAAATGTCAAATGAAGAAGACAGGGTTTCTAAGCCTATGTAGTCTCTGTGAACACAGTAGTGCAAGCTATTCGTTTTTATATTCTGAATTTCATAATAGTTGATCTTATGTGAAACACAGCTCTTGAGGTTTAGTCATTGGCTAAGATTTTTATTTTTATTAAGAAATAAATAATTTCTATCTAATAATGTTACAGAGACAAAGTGAAATGTGTGATCCAAGTGCATCCTGAAGACTGAAATAAAAAAAGCTGAAAAGAGCATCCAAATACTATTTCTGTAAAAATCCAAGATTTTAAAATATCATTATCTCAGGAGGCCTTTTGCCTAAGATTTTTGTCAAGTTGGGATATTAACAAATAGAGAGCAGTCATCATCAGCCTTCGAATCAGAGCTGGGGATCATAAGTTTTTCATCTGGTTTGTATTTTGCTTACAAAAGCACATGGCCTACCTGTTTAGAGAGGTCTTATGTAAACTTGACATGCCAAAGACTGGTCCAGAAGAAGAGACAGGTGGTAGTGTTGCCACCAAAGATCTCAGATTTCTCTCTTAAGCCTGAAACTTGCCCCATGGGACCAAATCTGATGTAAGTCTGGAATCTGGAGTGCTGCTTTTGACTGAAGTGAAGTTACCCTGGTAACTGCTTCTGAAAGCAGAGTTTGGTCCACAGGCTTTGCATTTCAAATTGCAATGCAGAGCTCATACAGGCCTCCTCAAAATAGGAAGACAGATGTGCTTCACTGTATGTCCTGCAGTCCTGGCGTCCTAACCATATGTATCAGGGAACTTTGGGGTGCTCTGTAAGTAAAATTCTCTTTGCCTGTGTAGTGGTGTTTTCCCATAGTGGAAACCAAAGGCTGAGGTAGGGGAGTGATGTGTGTCCAGGTCTTGTCCTGATATGAAGCTAGGACATGATCAGAATCTTGTCCCTGGCAGCAGAAAATGTTCTGTAGCTTACTGTGTAGAAATACCCACGGAGATCAGTTTACACAGCATCGTGGGCATTTACTGAATATTTTTTCCACTGGTTTGCTTGTCAGCAGCCCTTGTGTAAACTTTTTGAATAAATAACTACATATTATCTGTACAAATTCTACAAGAAAAAAATTGGGTGCACTGTTTTGGATTATTTTTTTTGTCCCCTGTAAAATCGACATTGAAAGAGGTATGTGGCAGCATGCTCTGAACTACCCAGTTTGCATGGTAAGGAGGCAGCAGGCCAGTGAAAAGAGCTGAAGGAGTGGAGCACCTCTAGTTTTGGAGTAGGAGTTTCTGGACCTTAGCCGGAACATATTAGGAGGAAGAGCTGCCAGCTAGCATAAGTGTATGAGGTGTCCCTCCAGGAGGGGGTGGCAGCAGTGGTGGGGATCACAGTGACAGTATTCATAGATGGCTGCGGAACTGTTCTCTTGAAGCTGGATGTGGTAGCTCCAGGAGCCTGGCCTTGAAGGTGAGCTATGCTGTGTGCAGACCATCTGGATTCAGTAAACGTGGGAACTTTTCTCCAAAGCAATCTACAAACTCAAGCTACGAGTGAAGTAGACTGGCAAGCCGGCAGAAGCTTTTCAAACCCTGCCTGTGTGCTGAAATTTCACCGCAGTAGAGCCCTTGCCAGGGCATGTGTAGATTATGATGAACTGGCAAATTCTGATGAATTTTTCCAATCAGTTTTAGTTTAGGCTGTGAGTCTTATTCAATAATCCTGCTGTGCTGAAATCTGTTTTCTTTTATAACCTTCTGAATGCTGTTATGCCTAAATCCCATCTAATCCACAGTATTTGTTACCATAATAATGCTGATGCAAAACAAATGTTATATGCCATTGACAGGAAAATGTAGAAGGTGAAAACTGTGATCTCTGTAAACCAGGATTCTACAATTTGCAAGAAAGAAATCCTCAGGGCTGCACAGAGTGTTTCTGCTTTGGGGTTTCTGATGTCTGTGACAGCCTAACATGGCCCATCAGTCAGGTATTTATGTCTATAACCTAATATTCTTTCCTCAGGCAGCTGCAAAATGTACTATATTTCTCCTTGACATGTGCCCAAGTTAAGCCAAATTCTGGCATGTGTCTCCTTACACAGGAGTGGATTTTCAGTGTCATTCAGCAGCTCTGAGGCAGACAGTGTGTCATCCCAGAAGCAATGGGTCGTGGAGGCTGCAATAATGCACTGGAAAAATGTGGTTTTTCTGACCCTGTGCTGTTAAAGTTTCTTTGCATATTGAAGAAATGAACCTAAACCTGTTTCCTTGCTCTCATATCCATTGGCAAGGCTAGGGTGACCTCTGGCAATGTTGCCAGTACTCTTTCTTAGAAAACAGTGATTATAAATATCTCTGTCTTCTGAATAGACAGATCTTGAGTTAGGAGGCTTCGGGGACACTATTTTTCCACCAAATTCCTTCCATATCTTTGCAGAGCTAATCACACTTTAGTTGCCTGTTTTGTGTGCCAATAAAAAGAGAGGAAAAGACATCAAATTTATTGAAATTCTAAGACGCTTGTATAAAACTCTTCAAAGTTCTCTCATCTTGCTCCCTCTTCTGGGACTCTGGATTTAGCTTTCCTTCAGCTCAGCTCTATCTATAGATGGGGAAGATAGACCTCAAAACCCTTGAAGTTCTATCTTGGGGAATTACATAGGTATAATGATAATTTTATTGGACAGATGAAAATCACACTCATATTTTTGTTCCAGTCTAATAGGGAGGTAGAAACAATCCTAGTCTGCAGTGGCATATTTACATGTATTGCATGTCAGAGTGGGCTAATGAAAGTGTTACAGATCCATCAGTTTGAGTGAATATCTAGGGAGAGTTGAAGATTAGTGACTGCTTTCTCAGTGACACAAAGCTTGAGTCCATTAATGTTACTATTCTTTCTTTCAGATATTGGACATGACTGGATGGCTTGTTACTGATCTGTATAATGCAAGGAGCGTGCAACCTCAACGAAGCCAATTTGATGGACCCCATCAAATAAGTATTAACAACACTGAGGCTGTGAAAGTACTAAAACATACTTATTACTGGTCAGCACCTGAGACATATCTAGGAAATAAAGTAAGTTTTCAGCTAGAGTCAAAACTCCTTCATAGTTTCTCTATTTTAATTATAACATATTACTCTAAATATATAGTTTCTGTAGTTAAAGATTATACTTAAATCTCACTATTACCAGACTTCTCAATCTATCTCTGCTCTTCAAATCATAATGTTCCTCGCCAGATATTCTCAATGTCCCCTTCTTGCTCTTTGAGCTCATTCATCTCCTCACTTCCTTCTCTGCCTATCCTTGACACAATATAATCTTTTCTTTTTTTTTTTTCCTCTTGGCTGTTACATGCACACATTCCCAATAGCTTTGGCATAGGAACCAAGAGTTTTACACCCTTCACACCTTGTCCAAAACAATAGACAGGAACATTAAATTCCTCTTACGTGCCTCTTGGCCATCTCCCATTTTGCATCTCCCAACCAGCTAGTCTAATTTTTGCCCTGGTTACTGCCTAAAGCCCTGGGCCTCCCATTTTTTGCAGCAGAATCACAGACTAGTTGAGGTTGGAAGGGAGCTCTGGAAGTCACCTTGCCCAACTTCCCTGCTCAAGCAGAGTCACTTAGAGTAGATTGCCCAGCACCATGTCCAGAGAGCTGCTTCTGAGTATCTCCAAGGATGGAGACTCTGCAGCCTCCCTGGGCAACCTGTGCCAGTGCTCAGTGACCCTCACAATAAAAGTGTGTTTCCTGGTGTTCAGAGGGAACCTCCTGGGTTTCAGGTTTTGCCCATGGCCTCTGGTCCTGGCACTGGTGAAGAGAGCCTGGCTCTGTCCTCTTGGCATCCTCCCTTCAGGTGTTTGTATACATTGAGATCTCCCTGAGCCTTCTGTAGGCTGGACAGTCCTAGTACTCTCAGGTTCTGAATCATGAAAGATGCTCTAGGCTCTGAATCATCTTAGTTGGCCCTTTGCTGGGCTCTTTCCAGGATGTCCCTCTCTTGTACTGGGAAGCCCAGAACTGGATTCAGAACTCCAGCTGTGGCCTCACCAGTGCTGAGCAGAGGGAACCTCGCAACCTCACCTTTCTTTTCAGTCCAACCTCTTTGCCCATGCAGCCCCATGAGACTTTTGCTTTTTGTTCTTTCAGCTCACAGCTTTTGGTGGAGACCTGAAGTACACGGTATCTTACGACATTCCAATGGAGAGTGTGGACAGTGATATAGTATCTACTGTGGATGTCATCATTCAGGTGGATTTTTTTTTTCAGCTTGTTATTATTCAGACATTATTAGGAAGCTATGAAGGGATTAAAAAAAGGAAAATAAAATAATATTTCTATAGTAGTAGTTCTGTCAATTTTAAGTTCCTTCTTAAAAGTCACTACCAAGATCTTGTTATTACTGATTTCTCTGATTTTCTGATTCATTTGTCTGAAATTGTAGGTATACAATACTAGTTTTAGGTTAAAATTTAGGTATTTATCACTTATGTGTAAACAGGTGAGGTGTTCATTACCAAATGTACAAAGCTCTGTTTACAAAAGAAACCACAATAAGCTGGAAGGACTTACATTTATGAAACAAATGAGTGTTCTTGCTGATTACTTACTTTTCTAGATTTATGTTGCAGTTTAAAAGTAAGGCTCTACTAAATCCAGGCACCTCCAGAAAAGCATTATTTTGTAATACATACATAGAAATAGAACAAAGGAGAAAAGAGATTCTGTTTTGTAGAGGAGCTTGATTTTTGAAATTTCATTTAATTCTTTCCAAAAGAAAATATTTCTAAAATCTCTGAACCAAAAGAGAATAGGATTGTAGTCTTCATGAAGCCATGGAAAATGCAGACCTTTTAGTTATTTTTTTCTAGTGCAAGAAGTCTAATTTGCCACTTTCCTGTGTTACCTGGATGTATATCTGACACTAAATATAATTGCTTAATAAAATATGAATGCAAATATGGAAAATGTTTTCTGCCTTTCCATTTCAGGGTAATGGGCAGATATTGAGTACAAGAGCGGCGGGCTTGTCATTACAGCCATATGAGGAATACTCTAATGCAGTGAGACTTGTATCGGAGAATTTCATAGACTTCAATACAAAAAAAGCTATAGACCGGGAAAGGTTGATGACTGTTCTGGTAAACGTGACCCATCTTCTGATCAGGGCCAACTACAACGTTGCCAAAAAAGCCGTGTACAGGTGAGGGAGAGAAAATATTCAAGTGAATCTATATACTTCTGTTGTTTCATATGCACAAAACCACTATTCATAGTGGCAGTCTTCCTAAAGTTTTATGATTTCTAGAAAAAAACATTTTTTAAACTGAATTTTCTCAAGACCAGTCTTGCCTCCGAAATACATTCATGTGGAATGTGTGAGAAAGGGCATTTGATTGTTTTAAAGATATCTGGTAGCAGAAACATTGTTTTCTGCTTTAAAGGAATACTACATAAAAGCCTTATTACAATGGCTGCTTTGTTAGAGGGAAATACCTCCAAAACTCTCAACAGTATACTTGTTTTGGTATGTGGCAAGTTAATCCATCACTGACTATTGAAAATCTGCCAGTAAAGACATTGGCTGTAATTTCTTTTCATGTCTGTTTGTAGATGTCACTGATGCTCATCTCTAACAGAGCGCTTAATAGGAAAATTGGGCTGGAATGGATTAAATGATCATTTCATAGTCTCAAGTCAGCATTAGCAGTATCTGCATCAGACCTTACAGATCTGTTTTACCTGTTCTCCAAGATATACAGGAATAAAATCTTATTGCTCCCAAGGGAATTGGCTCCAGTGCTCCATCACTTATTTACTTAATGCCCTGAGCCTCACCAATGACTTTTCTTCCTCATTCCCTAATTTGGTAGCATTGCATGTCAATAACATTGGACTTGATACCAAATTTACTTTGTGCCCTTGGGGAGTGGTAATATGTATGTCCATTTAGGGGTGAGGTGTTCATCTTTCTAGAATGTTTGTAAAGATTTATTTAAATAATTTTACCTGTGGCTGAGAAGATTTTCTGCCGTAAAATGCCATTGTTTGTAGTAAGAGGTTTTGCTTTGTTCTGTTGTGTGCAGCACCAGTGAACTGGTGGCGTTTCTCACTACTTACCCACCGGCGATACGTGTCTATTTTAGACATGGTGCAGTGAAGCTGTTTTATTTCAGCCCAGCAATAGAAGGCTACCCCACTGATGTACCTCTAATACCATGACAGAGGGGGAAGGTTTTATTTAAACTTTTCCACGGGAGAAGAGACAATGGTAGTAACAATAATGATAACAGGAGGATGGCACATCTACTCCCAGAACTGCAAATGCAGCGATAAGAGCATGATCGTAGTCATCTTGCAGCAGAGATTTGTGCCTGTTCCTCAGCTGTCCCTGCCAGGGAGCAGCACTCAGCAGTGTTACTCCCCTAGAAGCTCACTATCCTGTTCAAAATTAAGTTTGGGGAAACAAATGATGTGATGTTTTCACGCTTGATCCTAGGCTGGACTCTGTGACCCTGGATACTGCAAGTGCAAATGTTATAGATCTTTCTTCAACACCAGATGTGGAATTCTGTGAATGTCCTCAAGGTTACACAGGAATATCCTGTGAGGTAACCTCTTACAGTGTTTTATGTATGCAAAATTATCTCGTATCTGAAAGGATCTAGGTTTTAAAGGCAGGCTGCCTTTAATTATGCTGCCATAAATGTGTAGGTTCTGTGGTGAAGTGCTGTCTACTATACTGTAGACAATGCTGAAGATGTTTTCTTCCAGTTACACTAAATGGGATTTTAAACTTATTTCTTGAATTCTATTTGGTGGCACTAAAAGGTGATGATACACTTTAGAAGATCAGTGTTGCAGAGGGAGTGGCTGTAAAAGCTCTGTGAAGCTGTTTTGAGCATACCTTACTTATTAATAGCACTTCTCCTGGATCTGAATCTTGTACAGTTTAGTTCTGTTTTATGTCATTAGGTTTATGGAGGCAATAAGGAATCTTAGCAGGGAGAAATGCTAGCCTTTGGAAGATCCCACAAGGGTCCAATATATCACGCAAGTTGGTGTCTTCCATATCTGTGAGTAGAAGATTAGGGAGGCAGAGCACCATCTGCAGAATAGCAGGAATTATTTTGACAAATGATTTCGGTATGAAGCCTTGTGCCATAGCATCATTAGTGATTCCACAGAGGAGGTAGAACATCTGTTTTTTATTGTCCCATAATAAAGAATATATTCACATATTCAACTGCACAAAACTTAACTTATGTGCCTCCAGGGGTCAAAGCGCTGAATCAAAGTTTTATGGAGTTAATTCTTATCCCCTTTATCCAGTGCAAGTGAAAAACAACCACCAGAAAAGAGCTGAAGTGACATCAATAGAGTTTGAAGGAGCATTCAGTTACCACAATATGAATGAGTCAGACGGTGGGTGGTCAGAAGTGGGCTCTTTGAAAATGTTTTGATGTATACTTTTAACACACATAACGTTACTGCTTTTTTCCTCTTGTTTCTTTTCAGTCCTGTCTCCCTGGGTACTACCGTGTGGATGGAATACTCTTTGGAGGTATTTGTCAACCCTGCAAATGCAATGGGCATGCATCTGAGTGTGATGTTCATGGTGTTTGCTTTGTAAGTCATCCTTCAATGTGTTTTGTTTTAACCATCTGTTTAGGAATTGGGAGAGCATTTTGGCTGTGGGAGACAGGTTTGCAGTGTATGTAAATGTCAAGCTATGAGCACCAAGTGTTTGTTTTTCTTGCTTTTCATTGTTTACTTCAGAATATGTTCAGGGGACTCCATTAGTGTTCTCTGATAAAGGGTTTGTTTCAGTTCATCATTTCAAGTGGGGAATAATCAGAACTAAAATAAAAACATCACTATATACTGGCTGATAAAAATCTTAACTTTGCTGACTGCAGGTGACACAACTTTTTCTGAAAGGAACAAAATAACGCAGTGTTTTGGATGAGTGTCTGTTTTCAGATATGTGTGTTTCCCGTGACTGACAGCAGTGGAAATTACACATTACCTTCTGAAGAGAGAATTGAGCTCTTGAATCCGTTCTGAAATTTAAAGGGCACAGAAATAAAATGGCTAAACACCAGTGAGAAATATATAAGAAGTTTGTTACTGCAAATGTGTGCAATATGCAAAATATGGCTTACTTGAATGTATACTGCATGCAGGTTCCTGCAGGGATCCCTCAGGGGCTTAAAAACCATCAAGAGTAAATAGGAAAAGATTTTTTTTTCCATGTCTCACAGGCTTGTCAACACAACACAACAGGACCTTTCTGTGACCAGTGCTTGCCTGGCTTCTATGGAAGTCCATCCCAAGGAACTTCTGAGGACTGCAAGCTGTGTGCATGTCCTCTGAGTTCTGCTGCAAACAAGTAAGCTGCTTATGTGAGATTTTCTTTTGCATCTTCAGCAAAATCAGAAAGTGAGATAAAGAAAAAAGTCGTGAAATCTAAAAGAGAGAGGGAAGGACTTTTTTTCTCCCTCTTCGAGCATATCTCATAGAAACGTTGTTTTTCCAGGTAGACAAATGTATAGACTAAGCTAAGACAGGCCGAGTGAACTGGTACAATTTGTACATGTAGGTTGAAAGTAATACTTCGACGTGTCCTTGAACTTGGCAGCAAAATCACTGTTATCTTTCATGTTGTTTCAGAAAACAACAGAAGGACAGAAATGTTGCATGTGAAAAAGAGGAGCTCAGTACAGAAATTGGACAGGTTTACTAGAAAGAGGGCTGGGTTTTTAGGAAGTTTTAAAATCTTCTTTTCCTTTAAAACAAAAAACCCCTCACGAAGAGTATTTGAAAATGATAACTTTATTTTGACATATTGTAATGTTTAAGGCATTGATGCTAATCTAGAAAAATTTGCAATTACATGGTTATTTAAATAGGTGTGTGGACTTTTGAAGGGTGGATATTGAATGTTTGTGTATTGATACTGACTGCCATAAATATTGTTGATAGTTTCAGTCCTACTTGCCAGCTGAGTGAAGGAGGTGGAATTGTCTGTGACAAATGTCTTCCAGGCTATACTGGTTCTCAGTGTGAAAGGTATGTGCACCAGCTTTGGTTAAAATATCTATCACTGCCATCACTAACCGTTCATCATCCTACTTGCCTTGAATTGTTTATGCCACGTGTAGAGAACATTTCTCATAAATTTTCCTTCCCATTTTGTCTTTGCTTGTAATACAGAGACACTTTAGGTAAAAATTTAATAGGAAATACTCCCTTGGGTGGAGAGTGTGTTTGACATAGCCACATTCCAGCTGATAAAGTTTTTAATCTCTGGTACAGGTGTGCTAATGGTTACTATGGAAATCCACTCATGCCTGGAGAATCGTGTGCTCCTTGTGAATGCAATGGCAATGTAAACCCTCAAGAAGATGGCCACTGTGATACCTTCACAGGACAATGCCTGAAATGTCTGGGGAACACAGCAGGTCACCACTGTGAGAAGTGTGCTGATGGGTATTATGGCGATGCAGTGGTTGAGAAAAGCTGTCGTGGTAAGCTATTATTATTACTCTCAAAATTTAAAGAACACAAATATGGTGTACATGTAGCAGAATGGATGGGGAAATACGCACCTTTGCTGAAAGAGTTAACCTTCAAGTTGTGAGTTGGCAAGTGCAATTTGAAAACCATGGGGTTGGGTTAGCCTCAGGAAGGAACGTATCATGCTAGGGTCTGACACTTCATGTTCCTGAACCTTACTGGCTTGCTTAACCCTGTCCCTCCAGTGACCTGCTGTAGACACTTCCTACTTCTGAATGTTACGTATGGGGCTGAGAAACAAACTTCTCAAATGTATCTGTTCAAAGGTGTTTATCTTTCAGCCTGAATGTGTAGTACAATATATTAACATCTATGGGATCTAAACAGGTGAAACACATTATATACCAAATATGGAGTTCTATATAATAAAAAATGTATATAGATAGACATTAAAAATTTTTTTAATTTGGTTTCTTTTTGTCTAAACGTAAGCCTGTGTGTGCCATGTGAATGGTTCCCTTTCGAGTACTTGTCATCATGAGACAGGCTTCTGTCACTGCAAATCAAATGTGATTGGAGAAAGATGTGATAAGTGCTTGGTAAGCAAATATTTACATGTTCCTAATATGTACATTTTCTTGTATCTTGGTCTTCAGTTTTATCTATAGATACTGATTAGAGCAGATGCAGAGGATAGCAGCAAATACATTCAGGGGAGAGGGGACCTGTTGCTGGACCAGAGCTTTGTCTGCACAGGCTTTTGCAGTTGCAAATTGCTTTGCCTGTGCTCTTTTCAGATGTGAAGCTATGTAGTTGACTTGGCGCCCTTCTGAATAGGGCTGTTCAGGCTAGTGCTGTGCTCACCGACATCGTGCAGTTATGTTGCCTTACCGAAAAAACAAACTGAACACTGCTAACAGACCTGAAGGGGTCTTAGCGCTGTGCTTCTGCAAAATGAAGTCTGAGTGGGAATATCTGAAGAATGTGGTTGGTGATAATAAATACATCGTGGCTGAATGCCAGAAAGGGATTCAACTAAAAGACAGGCCTGTTATAAGAACAAGTAGATATTCACTGGTGATATAAAACAGCGGATTCCAGCTGTTGCTAAGTGTAGAACTGCCTCAGAGACCAGTGCCCAGTTACTGCCCTTGTGCCAGCCCAGCTGAATGCCTTTCAACCCACATGTACCTTGGGTCTCTGACCTGCTCTGTTCTGGTCTTTCATTCACATTCACAGAAATCTGTGCCTGATCAGCACAGCCCACCCTCACCTCATGGAAGTCTTTACATTAAAATAACCTCAGACTTTAAAACATAAAGTCTCATTGCTGAGATTAGGGGACCACAAGAGCATTTCAGAGATGAGGCCAGGGAGTCCTTCCACAGCAGCCACACATTGTACTGACCAATATTCATGCAGGTCAAACAGCGGGGGAAGTAAACAAGAGAAAATCAGAGTGTGCATCGTGTTGTTTTCAAAAACTTATGAAATATAGCTCAAATATATTTATTTCCTGTCCAACAGAATGGTTATTATGGCCTGCTTACTGGGCTTGGCTGCATTCCCTGCAACTGCAGTCAATTTGGCTCAGTCTCTGAGGACTGCAATCATCAGGGGCAGTGTCACTGTGTACCAGGAGTGGCTGGAGAAAAGTGTGATCGTTGTGCTCATGGCTTTCATGCATTCCAGGATGGTGGCTGCACACGTAAGCTCTAATCCATGATCCTTTCGGGTTTGTCTGGAATTTCTTGCAGCAATATATTTTATGTTAAACGCTCGCAAAGGTCAGTTGTTTTGATGACTATATAGAAAAATCTGTAGAATGGTCTCCTAATACTTTAAGCTAGGGAACAAAACATTTCTTTGCTTATTGTGAGGTTGCTTGAAAAGGTGGTGATTATGAAATAATAGCTCATAAGGGTTGTACAAGAGAACTACATCCTCAATAGCTCCTTTGTCTCTTATTTTACAAAACCTTCAGTCCTTCAACGAGAATAGAAACTTCTTTTTTCTTCAATTGTAAAAGTTAAGACCTGCTACTTTTACAGATTTTTACCTTGTTTTTTCATTTAATTCTTAAATATATTTTATACTTTAAGATGTCATTGACTCTTTTTCCATCATCACCTAGGTGTGTACAATTTTTAGTCATGGTACAGAGGAAGATGTTAGTCCAAATGGAGAACGCGCCATCAAAAAAACTAATTTATCGTGTTGATAAGATGCCCTTTTCAACACAGCATAGCTAAAGGAATGCCTATCTTTTCTCCAACCTGAGAAACATTTTTTTCGTGCCTCAAAAAGTATAGTAATGTGAAATCTGCAGTGAGATCATGTGATAGGATCATGTTTGGAACATATATACTGTGTCTTTACTAAGAATCAAAGCTCCCTTAAGTGCCTTTAACCATTTCAGTCAGTAAACGTTACTAAATGTTACTAAAAAAATTAATAAAATCACTTTTTTGAACTTCTGCTTTTTAGCAAAAATAGTATTACATTTCTTAAATAGGTAAGTGCTTCTTGCAGCAGTTAGTTAACAAAAATAGTTATCCATTCTCTATTATTCACTAAGCGATTCTTGAAATGTACTAATTCTGAGATTAATCCTTTCACCTCCTTGAGACCATTATCATATCTCCTGATGAGTTTTGTATCCTCTATAGTAGAATTTTTTTGCTACAAATTTTTTTCTTCCTCACAATAATTTTGACTTTGATTCCCTTGTGGAAATGCAGCACTGCTTTTTAAACCACCAAGCAGGTTATGTCAGGAAGCAATAATGGGCTTTCAATAAAAAGATGAAATGCCACTCTGGTCTTAATTTGTTTCTCGGTGATTAGGGATGGCAAGGAGTTCCTAGTGGAATGGATGAACTGTACTGCATAATTAAGAAAAGTAAGACTACTGGTGGTCTTGGAGTTTCTTCTCTGTAGCTAAAGCGAGGATAAAGTTAATCATTCAATCCTGTTTCTCTTCCAGCCTGTGACTGTGCTCATACTCAGAACAACTGTAATGCTGATTCTGGCCAATGCATTTGTCCACCTCACACCTGGGGACCAAAATGTGAATTCTGTGAAGAAAATCACTGGGGACTCTCTCCTAAACTTGGCTGCAAGGTATGGTAGGCTGGCCAAAAAGCCATGGCTGTTAAAAGCATTTCCCTTTATACTAATGTCAGAATTGAACTCTTGTTTTGAGAACCTCAATCTTTATTCTCTGCGTCAAAGTGTTAGTGCAACATGCCTACATTTAAAAAAAAAAAACCCAAACCAAAACAAAAAAACCACACAACAAAAAAACCCAAACTGTGAAGTGTTTATTGAGGAACCTTCTAAGCAAGCTGTCTTTGAAAATACTGATCATAGTGCCTATTCTGGATAGGTGCAGCAAGATGTAGACCCCATTAATGCTTCTTGAAAACTTAAAAGAATGTCGGTATTAGGATTTTTTCTTTCTATAATTATTGTACTTTCTTTCTATTATTATTGTATTCATTTCTTTCATCCAATATTTGTATAATGTTGTTTTAATTTACTTGCTGCACTCAATGCATAGTATTTTAAATAGTCTTTTGGATTTTTTTTTCTGGGTCAAGTTCTTTCAACTCCTTTGATTCCCAACCCGGATTTGGGAATCAACAAAGCTTCTTACTTTTTGCCACCTACCGTTTACTGGAAATGCAGTTCTTTGTTCAAATACAAACCAAACAACCCCATTTCTATGTGGAAGTTCCCTTTTATTATTGTATAGTAGTTGTTGACAAACATTGAGTTTTAAGGGCCATTTTAAATTTACTATGCTGTTTCTGTTGTTACAAAATTGTTTTTAAAGATACGCTATTTATGAACATTTCTTCTTTTCATCTAAGGCTTGCAACTGTAGCAACACTGGTTCCGCCAATCTCCAGTGTGATGTATTGACAGGTCAATGCCAGTGCAAAGTTGAATTTGGAGGACAAGACTGTTCCAGGTGTGCATTAGGCTACAGGGACTACCCGGATTGTGTTGCCTGTGACTGTGATTTGAGTGGAACCAAAGCAGAGATGTGTGATGACGCTGAAGGACTTTGTGGTTGTGAAGAAGAAACCGGCATCTGTACCTGCAAGGTACCGAAGTATTCAGACCCTTTTGGAACAGCGTTGGGGGTTTCTGGACATTTATTGCATAAAAGTCATGGAAGGTGTAGGGCTGAAAGGACTTCAAAAGGCAATCTGCATCCCTTCTTTGAGACGTTTCTAAGTACACCTAAATCTCCCCTAAAGGATTTTCTGTGCCAGCGCTAAACAGGTGGTCTTATTAGATGGCGGGGTTAAAAACTGCTGATGATGTTCCCCACTTTGGACAGACACATCACAGCTGTAGGCAGAAGAGATAGCAACGTTACCAACATGGAGGTGTTGTTTCTGTTCTCAGAAATTCCTGTGATGATACTAGACAGTTTCTCTCCTACCTCCCTTTGTTTTGTTTTATGTAGCCAGGTAATTTTATTTCCAGTTAGTGATCATAAAATTACTGTGGCACAGTACTGTAGTTCTCTTTTAGACAGAATTCATGGAATTTGATTTGGACGTGTAAGAAGTCAGTATCAGGACCCATTGTATGCCTAATCACAAAGTCATTCCTAGCTGACTAATGCTGAATCCTTGTTAAGTTTACAAACCAACCACTGTACATTTGATAGAAAAATGACTGATGTCTTTCCAGTCTAGGATGTGGCATATTTCATGACTCTGGTCTCACTGCAGTCCTAAATTCAAATAGATTGCATTTGCCTAATGTAGGATCCATGTGTCTATTCTGTATTAAGTGAATTTCTGTAACCACATCATTCTTGTAGTATATTCAAAGTCCTCTCTTTCGTGGATTAGTATTCATTTGGCAATGAATTATTTTGTTCTCTGTATAGAGATAGATAGACAGCACTTCTACAGCTTCTTCCATCCTAGATGTGAAAGCATGTAAAAAAATTAACTAAATGTTAGAAAATTCCAGTTTTCAAGCTATTATATTCTCATCCTCATTATACAAATAGAAAAAATGAAATACGGACAATTTTTTCTGCTTATACACACATGGTTTTATTAGGTTTGGGAACAGCACATTGATTCAGATGATATAGCCTGCTCTTTTGAAAATCCAAATGATAATGATAGGAAGAAACCAATAAATACAAAATAGAGAACTTTTTTTAAATGTGCTTATGCTGCAAGTTCAAATTTGTTTCCTGTGCTATAACGAAAGGCAGTGCTTAAGAATAACTCGCATATATTGCTAATACTGAAGTCTGAATTGACAGTCTTGTATGAAAAAAGGAAACATTAAATACAGAGGTTTAGTAGTATAGATTTTTCTGAAAAGGCTGGACTGTCTTCTTGAAAGGCCAAGTGATAGAGAAGAACTTACTTTAAGGCAACAAACTTAATGCCTTCCTAGGTCTCTCTCCAGTCTTCTCGTTAAAGGTGCCAGTGGGCAGTGACTGCAGTTTTGGGTGTTTTTTCAAGTTGATCTTGCCAGTTGGAATGGAGCGCGAAAACAGACAGGGGAATAGGTCCCCTGATTTTTATTCATAGCAAGTGATGTCTTTGGCTTGAGAGCCCATTTTCCAGGTGGGGGGGGAACATTTTTCTGTCTTGGAACAGAAATGTATAGATGCTATTTTTTGCTAGAAATTCAAATACATGAGTTATCTTGAATGTTCCATGTGATATGGTGGTGTTTGTTTTTTTTTAAAAACAGCATTGGAAAATAATGAAAAAAATAATGTACTGCATAGTAAAACAGAATAAATACAGTAATTGACTTCTTGTTACATAGTTTATATAGCAACTAGTTTTCCTTCCGAAAAGAACAATCTTTCATTCAGCTAGCAAAGTAACATGAGTGTGCTGTTATAAGCTTTTCTTTTTTATTTCCTCCAGGAAAATGTATTTGGTCTACAATGCAGTGAGTGTAAACCTGGAACTTTTGCTCTGTCTGCTAACAATTCACTAGGTTGTACACCATGCTTCTGTTTTGGGATGTCCACATTTTGTTCAGAACTAGAAGATCACGTGAGAATTCCTGTAAGTAAAGTGACATAAATGTACAGACAGAGTTTGGTGTTATCCTCATGTGAGGTACCGCAGTGGTGTGCTGAAGGTTGCGTACACTTCATGAATCAGGCTGAATGTAATTGGCCAGCTTATGGAGGCAGTGGCATATGGCAGAACAGAAAAGAAAGCAAATGCTAAAGTGGTCATAGTCTTTTTTCTGAAATCTTGTGTTTCACTGTTTTCTTTTTAAAAAGAAAAAATTAAACATATTTCCCAATTTTTTTGTTTGTTGTTACTCTAAGATGGACTATTGACTATCTCAAAGCAGCTAAAACTGTTACCAGTATATTACAGTGTGATAGAATGTTTTTGTTGAAGGAACCTTTTGGTCTTTGTCTTGCAGATAACCTTAACTCCAGATCAGTCCATTCTGCATGTAGTAACTCAAAGTAACCTGACTGGAATGGTGGAAGGAGTATTTTCACAATTCCCTGATGTTTTACTGGATGCTTCCATAGTCAGAAAATACTTAAATACAGAAACATTTTACTGGAGGTTACCAGAGCAGTTTCAGGGAGACCAAGTAAGATCATTAAATAATTCGAATGCTTTGTAGATAATTTCTTTATTGTCTAATAGTCAGTCCTTTATTGTATAATAGTCACTTTATCTTCATAAGTTTTCTGCATTAATTTTATTCTTGTAGGTTGTTATATAAATACTCAGTGACTGAACTTACAGTAAGCACAAACAATATGTTTACATTACCCTTTGCTAATGAGATTTTTCTTGACCCTGTAAATTGTTGACACCCATGTTTAATTACGATGTTACTCTTCAGAGATTATATAGTTTTTTAGAGTAATGAATTCAATTTTACTTTAGAAACCTGAAAGAGTTTTCAACCTTGACGCTAGATTCAGTATATAGATCATGGAATCTCTGTTGCTTAGGAATTAAATGAAAATTGAGTGCACACCTTGAAAAGGCCTAAAAGAAGAAACTGAGACTGCTTTTTAGAAATATGCCTTTAGCCTTGGTGTAAAAACTGCTGAGTTTAAGTCCGTTTTCATGTTTTATTGCCAATTCTTCAAAGAACTGACAGTTTTCAAGTCTTCCGATGACGTTAAAACATTTTCAGGTAGTAGCTCTAACCTTGGAATAAAGAAAAATAATAATTTTTTATCCAAACAGCTCATGGCCTATGGAGGGAAGCTGAGATATACTGTTGCTTTTTATGCTTTGGATGGCTTTGGAACCTCAAATTTTGAGCCACAGATTCTGATGAAAGGAGGTCACACTAGCAAATTAGTCATCTATGTAGACATCCCTACTCCAGAAAACGGAGTAAGAACTGACAAAGAAGTAGAAATGAAGGAGGTAAGCTAAAACGCTGGTGTGGAAATACTTCCTTTAGAAATAGTCACTGTGACTGCAGTTCTGAAAGAACATGTAAGGAGGAACAGAGCATTACCTTGAAGTGAGCTTGAACACTCATGGTTCTAATAAAGTGTTGTTTCTCTAGGATTCTTGGAAGTATTTCAACTCTGTGTCTGATGAGCCTGTCTTACGTTCTGATTTCATGTCTGTGCTAAGCAATGTTGAATACATCCTTATCAAGGCAGCTTATGGCCAAGGATTGCAGCAAAGCAGGTAAAGCAATCTCTGCATTTACTTACTATACTGTATTTATTGTAATTTAACCTAGAAATAGTCCCAGCTGAACTATACAGTAAAGATTTAACTCAAATGGAGAAATTTATAATTTCCTATTTATGACTTTTGTTCTTCCTCTGATAAGAAAACGTTTTTGACCTTCAATGGCAGCAGAATCCATCTAATTCTTTCTGTGAAACACTAAATGTCTCTCCTGCTTGCTTTGATAGAAAAGGCCGTAAAGAAGCACAGAGCCTTACAGGCTGATGCAGTGTGCTGCAGGATCGGTGATATAGTTAGATATTTTCTAAATTATTTCTTTCTCATCTTATTTTTATGGGTTTAGAAAACTTGGTTTGTTTTTTCAGTTGAAACACATGGTCCCCTGAATTCTTGAGCCTATACCAATCTAGGTCTCTCCTGTAGCTTTATGCACTCTGGGCAGTAGTAGTAAAATATCCCCACCTCAGAATGGTAGCATTTTACCACCATTTTGAGCAGAAGTAGGTTACTAAGAGCGTGGAGGTGAGATATGGTCATTGCATCTGTTAGTCTGGAAACTAACAAGACAAGCAGAGATGCATCCAATGAAACCCAGTATCTGCACATCTTCACAGCTGTGAGGAAGTGTGGTTCCACCTCCAGATTTGGGATTATTTTTGATTCACATGCCCTCAACTATCTTTTAGCTCTGTCAAAAAATCTGTGGGACAAAGCAGATGTATTTCTGTCCAGTGTTTGAGGCAGAAAGACATATTCTTGCGTGGTGGGTGTGTCAAATTTTGCAGACCAATGAGAATCAACCTATATTACTCTGAAGTACTTCTGATTTGTTTGTAGGTCCTGAAATCCCATAAATAAGTAAAGAATCTTCAGATTTTATTGAGATGTTTGCATGGGGAAAAGAGGATCATGGGAGGTTGCATATGGTAGCTCTGACCTTGAAGTATAAAATGTTTGGATCTCAGTTTTGGTGCTAGGATTTCTGTAGATGTTCACGTTCTCTTCTGCATATGTCTTGTAGAATTGCAAATATCTCAATGGAAATTGCAGTGAAGTTTGAAGAAATGCATCTAGGCAGAGCTAAAGCTCATCTTATAGAGCAATGTAGGTGTCCTGCTGGTTATGCTGGATTGTCCTGTCAGGTACAGAAGCCTTGAATCCTTTTTGTGTGTCTAATACTGAGATAACAAAAAAAGTTACTTAAAGGGTTTTTAAAATTGTTTATAACTGTTGATAGACATGATTGTATTGTTTTTTATATTTTATTTTACTCCCCTTACAAATAGAGTTGTGCTCCAGGATACTACAGGGGAAAGCATACAGAACTCAGTGTAAAAGAGACTCACGCTCTGATGGCACCTTGTGTGCCATGTCAGTGCAACAACCACAGTGAAACCTGTGATCCTGAAACTGGAAAGTGCTTGGTATGTACGGGTTGTACATTTTCTTCTATTGGTTTCACCTGAGCATACAATGGCAGTAACCTATGGAAGGAGTTTCTGGGAGAAGTATATGGCTGTACTATTTGGATAGAGTATAATTTCCCCCCCCCCAACTCTAAAAAAATGGAAAATCTGAGAGGTATTTCCTGTAGGGTCCATTCAGTAAAACTATCAAGATTTTTGGGCCCTAACATCTTCAAAATCATTAATTATTTCAGTTTTGATTTTACTTTAAAAATAACTGGTATCTATCTGTTTTCTGTGAGACTTTTTGGGCTTCTGTCCTTGGTCTGGCCAAGGTCTGCTTAGTCTCACCAAAAAAAGTAAAGGAAGCAGTAAGCCATACCACACCACAGACTAAGTCAAAGTCAAATTCTTTGTCTCGGGAAGAGAATCCTCTGGGCAGCTTTAAGTGAGACTTTTAACTCCCAGAGACTAAAGGAGTATAAGGATATGCCTGAGCTAAATTAATTTGCTCACTTCTCTCATTTGATCCCAAAGGTTGCAAAGAGAGGCCACATCTGACTAACACAGTGCCTCTGTCTTGTGGGCTGACAGCCATGTGGACAACAAATTCTCAGCTAACCAAATAAGGCACATTAGGTCTGTTCTCTGGTATGGCTCAATATTCTTTCCTAAAGTTTTTTCAGTTGCTTTGTTTTTCCTATGGTGAGTTGGTTAGTTCAAAGTCAACTTCTGCTGAATTCATTCTTGAAGTCAGTTTAAGTGAGTTTCCTTAGTCCTTCAGGCTTTTGTAAACCGTTCTTTTTGCTTTCAGGTTTGTCCTAAAGTATGTCTCTCGTGAGTAAGAACTACGGTTCTCATTTCTACAAGGCCAAAACACATAGATCTTTCACATAGTGAATACTAGTCATTCCTCCTCTCGGCTTCTCTTTGCAGGGGTGCCAAGTCACTTATGTGTTGACATTACTACTTAGACATTTCCAGCTGAGTAGTGCAGGCAAAAGAGATGGGATTCACCTCTGACTTCTGCTCCTGTGCAATAGGAGACTATTGCTACTGCTTACTGTCTTCAGCTAACCTCTAAAATATACACACTTGCAAGAATATGAATCAAAAAAGGAAAAAAAGAAAAAAGGAAAAAAAAAAAAGGAGAAACTGAATTTTATTCACTTAGGGAACTAGTCAGTTAACTTGTTTATTATACTGATACAGTGTTTTAATATTTAATAGCACTGGCTGTTGATCAGTACTGTTGACAAGTTAAATGTAGTGCTGTGAATCCTAAGTGTGGATGGTCCTTAGTTTATAGCATTCAAATGCATTTGCTGAAACATTGAAATTTACATTTTTCATCCAGGTATCCTGTTTAATTTTTTCATCAATTGCTTTTTTTTGAGGATTTTTTTGCTTTGTACTGTGATTTCCTGGCCTGAATTGGATTAATAGAAGCAGAAATACATTAGTCTTAATGGAAATTTAGAACAGAAATTAGGTCAGCCTGCCTGAGGGGGCATTCATGTAAGAAAATATGCTGGTATTCTGCTTATTTTTGTATAAAAGGTTCCTCCACTCAGAGAATGCTGACCAACGGGTAGTGACAGTTAAGAGATGATTATGGGAAACTGTATACATTTATTGATTGGGGGAAGATAAAGTTCCTCTTCTTGTTTGTTGTTGTTTTAAACTGTCTGAATTCCTTTTTGTGTATCAGAACTGCGGAGATAACACAGTTGGTGATTACTGCAGTGCTTGTGCCCCAGGCTACTATGGGAAAGTAATTGGATCTGTCAACGACTGCTCTCTTTGTGCCTGTCCTAGAGCCAACCCCGTTAGGTAACCAGAACTTATTAAATCCAACGTATGTTTTAGCATTCTGGATTTCTTGGGCTGTTTGTCCCACCTTCTGCTCCCCCTGCTCTGTGACAACAGGAGTTGGTTATCATTACACGTTCTTAATTTTTAGACATTTGAAAGCTACTTATTTTAGTAAATGGAGCTTACATTCTGAGTTATTCACAGTTAGTGGTAAGTCTGTGAGGTTTTAAAATACTCTAAGAGTAGATCAGCCACGTGGAATGCTTTCTAGATAATGGAGTAAGTTGCTCAAATATGGGTCTCTTTCTTCATTTGGAAAAATAATGCTTTTGTATTTGTAAAAATTCATGTCATCTCCAGTTAATGCAGGAACTTTTCATGAGATCAATCCCAGGGGAAGAACAATACTCTTTTGTTTGAAACTTATACATCTGTTTGTTCGGTAAAGGAACAGTTAACTTCATATTTTGAAAATCAAAAAGCTATGCAGGCTGTTGTTTTTTTTTCTCCAGAAACTTGAAAAGCATATTTGTTGTTTGCGTTTGGTTAATTGAGTCAGAGTAAGAGTCTAGCAATTCTGATGTTCTCATGCAAGTCTCAGATATATACTATTAGTCGTATCATTCAACACCCATTTTTCATTGTCTTATCTTTTAAAGGAAGGCCATAAATTGCTTTAGGATGTTATACAGTAATGGAGTTGCATTGGGAGAACAAGCTTTTTAAGAAACAAATAATTAAAAGTATAAATTCTAGAGCACTGCATGAGATTGAGCAGAGGATGCTGTTGTTTAAAATATTTAGCCTGTGGCTGAAGGTGTTCTCTGGCTTTGTATGGTCTTCCATTTATGTGCTAGCAGGTATTTGTTTATCTTTCCTCCAGTTTTAGTCCCACTTGTGTCCTAAAAGGTGTTCAGGATTACCACTGTGATGCTTGTCTCCCAGGATATGAAGGACAGTACTGTGAAAGGTGAGTTAAGCATGATGTCCCCATTTATCCCTGACTCCCAAGGACAATTTGATTAATATAAGCCATATTTGTACTCAGAATAGATTATTCAGTGTTCATAAATAAATATATGAATGAGTGCTCAAGAACTTAGAGTGATTTGTTAGTTACTGATTAATTAAAAACCTATCAGCAATTCTCAAAGATAAATATAACATCTGATTTCATGGTGAATATCCCCTGATGTTGTGTCCCGTTCCTCCCTGTGTAGGTGCTCCCCGGGCTATTATGGTGACCCTCAGCTTCCCGGTGGCAGCTGCCATCTGTGTCAGTGCAATCCGGGCGGCTCTGTTCATGCTAATTGTGATCGTGCAACTGGCCAGTGCCTCTGTAAGCAGGGTGTGACAGGACAGCTCTGTGAGGAGTGTGAACCGAGACATCATCTTGTGGAAGACGAGTGTGTTTGTAGGTGGTTTTTAAATGGTTTACTTTCCCAATGGGCTTTGTTCTATTCCACTGATACGTATGTGCACATGATTATTCTTTGAATGTTTTTGTGATGTCAGGCCCTATTCCTTCTATGAAAGGAAAGAAATCTTAACAAATTAATATCTAAGTATTCAATATCTAAAACAGAGAGAGTTGGATTAGGTATTCTCCAGAAGTCCCTTCCCACCTCAACCATTCTGTGAACACAGAGGAAACTACATTAGAGATCGTAACATCGGACAAGCTGTTAATCCTTAAGATGGCTTATTTAGTGTTACAGACAAATTTAAGGAAAGAAGATTTTAATACTTTTTTGCTGTCTGTAGTGTACCTTTGTTTGCAAATGTTGAATTCCTATGTTGTTGACCCTCTGGATGTGAGGCTGCTCTAATAATACTTTTGGAGTTATCCCAGTATGTAGGCATTCTCCACCAATAATTAGTCATATTCCCCCAATAATTAGTCATGTAATTCCTTTTGAGAGGGTGGATAGCAGAAAGACACAGCAAGTACAGTAATCTGCTTTTACAATGAATTGGGATTTAGGACTCAGATTTTGCTTTATATAAGTAACAAAACCCTAAGGAATAAATGGAATTACACCACTATAGGCTTGAATTTTCTGTCTTCCTAACCTGTTTGAGTGAGTATCAGTGGCATTACCCTGGATTTATAGCAATACGGATAAATAGGCTCAATAAGCTCAGAATACAGCAAGCAGTTCAATAACCAGCAGGATCAATAAGGCTTGAATGTGTGCTAACTGAAGGAAGAGTGTGTTTGGAATAGGTCTGCTCTTGGGGCAGGAAGGGGAGGCCAATACTACAAATCTGTATACTCAAAGTTATTTTACTTAATTACTCTTAACTCAAAAGCTGAAGGCACATACTGTGTAAATCAAAAATAAATTTCAGTATTTGGTGGCTTCTTCTTAATACTAACATTGCTTCCTCCTCTTACAATGGTTTATTTAGCTTGTGATGACAACTGCACAGGAGTTTTGTTAAACAGTTTGGATAATCTCAACAAGGCCATACTTTCAGTGAACCTCACTGGTGTTGCCCGTGTGCCCTATGGGATATTGTCAGAGTTGGAGAACGCAACAAAACATCTGAAGGTAAAATGAATGCACAAGTAATAGAAACACTTACCTCACACCTTTAAAGCAAAACTTGCAGCCACTCACGTGTGCTAGTAATTTAACAGAAGCCCTCCTGAAGTTCGTGGCTTGAATGTGTGTATGTGTAAGCGATACCAGATTAAGACTTATGTTTGGTGTAGAAATATACCCCAAGATTACTTTCTTTTCATTTGTTGTACTAGCATTTAAATAAATGGATGAATATATTTTTCAGTCAGCACTGTAATTATTGAATGTGCTATATGTATGTGCTTCACCTGGATTATGTGCATCCCTAAGATCGGCCCAGACCTACTGAAAGTAAGGGGAGTAACTTCCAGCAGTGAAACAGAAACATCAGGTCAGGTCTTTTCCCTTGTTTAGTCCTTTTCCTAAAGAGCTGCCAAAGCATAGATTTTGAGGTTGTTCCCCTAGAGTCCTCCCCTAGAATGGCAGGCTGCTTCTTCATTAGCCAGCGTGCCTGGGATGCAGCATTTTGCTTTCCTTTTGGTTGTGTGACAGTCCAAGTGACTTACGCTGTCCTCCATCTGGGGACACAAAAGCCAGGTAGGATGTCCCAGTGTTGGACACTTTCAGACTGCTTGTGGCAAACTTTTCTTCCAACTCTGCTCCCCCTTAAAGCATGAAATACCACATTTGTGGTTCTAGAAGGTCATTTATTGTTGCTAAGGATTAAGTTCGTGTGGTCTCTGCACAAAGCCAGAGATAAACAGAATCCTCCCTGCTTCATGACCACTAAAATATGGACATTTATTGATAGGAGCCTGTTCAGCAATAAGTCAAGCAAGACAAGCTATAAGACAGAAACAAAGCTGTCTTTGTATTCCACTGTATCAAAACAAAATCAAAATAATGTGAGCCGCCTTGTGCTGCTGAATTTGGCAAATTAAGAGTTTGAATTAAAATTTCTTCTATTTAAGATGTAAGGCAGGCTGAATTCATAGAATGGTTTGGTTGGAAGGGACCTTAAAGATCATCTCTATATCCCAGGTAACCAGGTCTCCCATTTCCTTCCGGAGAGCGCCCATGTTGTCCCTAGTCTTCCTTTTATCACCAATGTACCTATAGAAACTTTTCTTGTTGCCCTTGACATCCCTGGCCAGACATTCCAAAATGTCAATGATTACAATATCTGAAGGCAAATTTGATTAAATTATGTGTTTGTTCTTCAGCACAGATAGTCTTATCCTTTAGTTTTAGTTGCTAACCTTTTAGTTATAAAGCTTCAGTTATGCTTCCCTTGCTCTGTATCATAAGGTATAAAAGTGCTGAATTATTGTAATACTTTGAGGATACAATTGACTTGCTTTCTGTAATTGTTTTGTGTTTGTATAGGAGCCTCATCTTATTGGACTATAAACATTATTCAATATGCAGCTTTTATTTAGCACTTTAATTACAAAACAAAGTAAAATCTTATGTAAAAATAAAAGCAGTTTAACTTCCTCCTTTAGTACACACATTATTTTATATTAAAATCAAATCAAAGCCAGCTGTCACTCTCTTGGAAGTGGGATGCTAGAAGTGATATAAGACATGTCATTTCTGTTTACGTAAGGCCACAATGTTCTTTAAACTACTTAATCTTGAGGGTAAGGTGGTAGTGTTGTAATTTTTCTCTGTTTGGAAGCAGGTATTCTCCCCTTTCTGGCTAATCAAAGATTGCCTTCCCTTTTGCCTTGTAGCAACTTAACTGTAGCTGGAAGCCAGAAAATCCCCAAGTTTACTTATGTGAATGACAGATCCTCCCTGAAGGGCTATCCCCTGCCCTGCACCGTATTGTCTTTGCCTCATGCTGGTTGCTCAGGAACTCAAGTATTTCCTCTTTTCTGTGCGTTAGGTGTGGCTCTTTCAGTAATGAGAGCGTTATCAAATCAGATCGTCTGTTCCTCATGGCTTCTACATCTCCAGTCTATCTAAGGACTTCAGTAGTTCTGTTTTTCTAGTTAAAGCCTCCTGCTTTAGTCCTCCTGACATACCTAGACATTGTAAAGAAACCTTGCTGTGCGTTATCCCAGGGGGCTCTGGAGCTTCAGCTTCTGTTTTTCACTTGTTCTTCCCTTATGCTGAGGAAAAGACTTTGAAACTTCCACTTGACACAAGGCTGTTGGATAATCCTGTGGATTACTTCTTTTGAAAGCTGGGCAAAATGATGCTTATTATAGTATTTACGATATTTGGCTCTGAAACGTCTGAAATCTAAAAATAGCCTTTCCCATGCTTGCTTTCTTTGTAAGACATGCCTTCAGTTTCTTTGCATCTGAGAAATGGTGTTCTGTTGCAGGCCTTGACTGTATCAAATATGATACACTTGGGTACAATGGCCTGTTTACTGTTATACTGGGCAGTTTTGAGGTGACCTTGAAGCCGAACACAGCCTATTATTCTCTTATTGATGAGAGGATCTGCAGGGCCAAAATCCTGAACTCCTGAGTGCCATGCACTGGGTTTTGACATGGAAACGTAGAGCTCTCCAGGGTCATCCTCACGGATACACCCCCTAGATGCAGCTGGTTTGATTGAACGTGCAACGTGGCTGGATCCTTGTTTCCTTAATTAAAGAAATTACACACTTTCTTGCATGAACTGGATGTATGTAATTACTTTGTCATTTTATGTGCTTTGCAAGTCAGTCATTTAAAACAAATAATCTAAATAGTGTATATAGTTATCTTCTTTCCAGAACTTTCAAAATCTTTAAATTAGTGTGCTGTTTCTTCTTGTTTCTTATAGGGGTCTTTAGTTCCTAGAGAAGATCCAACTTACTCATTAGCTACAGCAGAAGAAAGTCTCCTGAGTGTATCAGGAGGAATTGATCAGCTGCATGAAGAGGTAGGTGCTGGCTGCTTTATTCTTAGCCTTTCTGGAGAAGTCCTTTGAGATTTCATAGCATGGGACATAAATGCCAGAGAGCTGTTTAGAAATTATTGTAAACCTATAGAGTTCAATGAAAGAATTCAGTCCATTCTGTAGTCTTCCTGAGGATGGGAAGTTAATTGGTTTGTGGAATTCTTCAAACTTCTGTGGTTTATGATATTGCACAGGGGATTTACATGGTTTCTGTTAAAGTTCAGCAGATTTTTGTACTGTGATCATTTAAGGTCTTAAAACTGGAGAAAGGGAGATACTTTCTTCTCACTGGTTTTAACATGTGGAGCTTATTCAAAATTATGTCATACCTCTATATTCACCAAAAAGTCTTTGATACCTGTAGTATTGTGTTTAAAATGATCTCAGCAGAAATAACTCTGTCGAAAGCCCACATGAAAAGTAGACACTTGTGTTTTTTATTCAGTTGCAACACATGAAAAATTGTAGGTAGAAAATTGACAATCATACTTCAACCATTAGATCTCATTTGCTGACTGTATGTACCTATAATTTTCTGACTATGTTTATGTAATCTAACTAGGTGCTTGCACTAACAGTGGTGTTATTGCTAATAGTGATGTATCCAGAAGAGTGATTTTCTTGAGATATGTTAGTTGTAGCTGGAAAAAAGGTAATGTTTACTTTGTTAAAGAAATAGATTTGATAATTATGATCTTAGTGATTAAGAAAATAATTGATAACACAATTCTTCACTAATATCAGAGGCTGGAACTTTCAATATAATTAAGGTATCTGTAAGCATGGAAGCATCAGAGATTTATGAATCAGCTAGGTCTACCTTATGAAAAAAGATCGTTTCCTCTTACAAAGTATTCTCAATATTGGGGAAAAAAAGTGTAAAAATCATAGACAAATGTCATAAATTAATCGGTGTTTTAGGAGAACTGTCAAAGATTATCTCTGATTTTATTCTAGTCATCTAGATTTTTGAAAAAAGCTTGGCAGCTTAACACAGTGACTCAGAAAACCAGGAATAAAAGTCAAGAACTGACTGGATTTATTGACACAGTACATACAACCATCAAAGGTATCCTGCTTTTGAGATCTTTCCACTTTACAGACTTTAGAAGGGTATTTCCTTCAGAACTCTTAAAGAACTATTTACATGGGGAGTGCTGCAGTTTGCACAGGGGATTCACATAACCTTCTTTTTTTTAGCGGCCTGACTAAATTGTTTACTCTCCTACTTAGTCCTTACTGAAGTTGCTGTGTCACTAAATGAAACACTGGGCCTGGATCTCCCGCTGTCAAATGCTACATCTCAGAGCCTGCAGGATGATATTTCTGCTCTTCTGGATGCATTGCGCAAGAAAGGTTTTGTTCAACAGCACCATAATGCTACCAGTGTCTTAAAGTAAGCCTCTTCTATTGAAAACTCTATTTCACATATGTCTATACTATGCAATACTGCTTTTTGGAGAGGTCTGGAGAAACATTGTGCCATAATAAGAGGCAGTGTGATGGATAACTAGCCCAGGTGGAGCTGTATGAACTCTGAATTTGGAGTTACATGATTTAAAGGTATTTGGGCTTCCCACGTGATACTAATGCAACCAAAGCCTGTTCATTTGGATGTGATACAAAATTCCCATGCAATAAGTGCAAAGTTTGCTTTCAGTTTGTTTCAGACCTGGCCCTAACACACATCTTGTCGCTTCTGGCTAGGAGACGTCACAGAACTGTCTCAGTCAATTGCAAGCCCGGGACATGTCAGGTCTGCTGAAGGACATGACGATTTATTGTCACTGGAATATGTGACATAAATTTGCAAATGAAACCAAGGCATTTGTTTCTGCAATCTGAACCGTCCTTTAGGACTGCATTCCATTGTCTTGATTTGTCCCCAGTTAAAGGCTATTTTAAAATGGCTTTTGTATTCATTATCAGTGCTTATTGCCAGACTTGGCAATATAAAACATTGACTGTTCCAACAGTCTGCAAAATTTTTGTTCCAGCTTCAGAAAAACTGCGTATTGTTATTAAGTGCTTTGAATTAGGCAGGATAAAATGTTTGTGTTGGTGGCATGTCTGATTTTGTTCAACAGACTCCTGTGCTTGTCCTTGTGCTGAATATTAAACTGTATAGAAGCTAAATGAACATGAAAATGGACTAGAAATCTGCCATTTATTCTTATATTTATTAGGAACTTCAAATAGCTCTTTTTGCACTTACAAAAATGTCTCAAAATGTCCTGTAACAGAATGTTCTGACTTTCAACATCAGTTTTTGAGCTGTTCTACAAGGCATTTATAAATTAACATTTTCAGTTATAGGCTCTGGTGAAATTTCTGAAGTTCTCTGATAAATGTCCTTTGACAGATTGAAGAGAGTTAATAAGATTTATAAGATTGTTTGCTCTGCAGAATTTAGCATGCAATGCAGCTGTAAGTTCAAAGCTGATTTAAATAAGTAGCTTGCCAGTCCATTTTTCAGGGAGCAGACGTTACCGCATGGCTCACAGTGGACTGAGCTTGTGATGACATACTGTTAAGCAACATTCGTAACTGAGGTCTCTGCACATTTGCCACGTAAGGCAAAGTTCCCAAACAATGTGGAATATAACCCGTTTACTCTACATCAAATAAAGGCCATTGTTGCCTTGTAAAATACTTCCCTTCTTGTAGCTTTTTTAAGGCTATGGCTCCTGGGTGTAAAGACTCTGAGTTACTTGTTTCAGAAAAGACATGCAAGTGCACATCTGCTATTCAATAAGAATGATGGAATGTGTTTTGCTGTGTATAACCGTGAAATAAACTAGGTTTCTTTTGCTTTGGCTAAAGATACATATGATTTGAAATCAGATTAAAAGTGACAAACATGTAGTAAAAGTTATTACAAGAGTTGCAGTGTGCAGCGTATGTGCTGAAATGAAGAGAAGCAAAGGAATGGACTTTCAGGATCATTTTCAGTTCAGTTCTTTCAATATTGGAAAGTGTTCAAATGGAGATGCAAATATTCCCAAATAGCACAGCTGAAGCGATTAACAGCTGACAAATTTGGGGGATTTGATATTTCCCAGATACTGTCTGTTACTGATTAAAAAAGATAAGTGCACAGATTGCTCACTTCAGTGCTCATTTTAATGAGGCTATTTATTTTTATTTGATATTTAAACTTTTCAGGACTCTTGGGTATGTATCTTTCAGTTCTAGTTACTTGTTTCTTTTCAATGTCAATCCTCATAATTGATGTTCTGATCCTACATTCAAAATATGAATCACTACAATTAAGATACAGAGCAGTCCCAGAGAAATATTCAACAGAGATTTTGATGTGGGGAATGTCCAAAATTAAGTCCAAGCAAATGTGATTTGTAGTAACCCCTTTCCCCTCTAGTCACCACATGCAAAGTTTCTGAACTGTATTACTGCCCACTCCACTAGGCAGTCATCTTACTGTGTGGTAAGACGAGTAACTAAGCTACCATGTATATATGTGCTAGTATAGAAAAAAATTGCAGACTCTTGTAAGAAATTGCATTTAAATTAATTTCACATGACCCTATTTTCTCCTGAAGAAATCCATGCCTAAGTTTCTCCTTCCCTGTTTATTTTCTGATTCTTCTCTTTGTCAGAGCTGCAGAAAATTTGTTGATCCAGGTTCAGAAAGAATATCTTAAACCCCAGCAGGAGCTTGCTGAACTAAAAAGGGATACAAGCCAGCTCTTATCAATGCACAACAGCAGACTGCAAGATGCCCAGGACCTGGTGAATGAGGCGCTTGCTAACATCAATGAGACCAATCGCTTGTTTCCTCTTATCTCTAGCAACCTGGCAGAGTTAAATGTAAGACTGGACAGTCAATGTTGTTGCATAAGAAATATCAAATATGAAATTGTCTTTAAAACCTGCTTTTTAGACTTTAAACATGTACAATTCTTATTAAACATAAGTCAATGTTGTTGCATAAGAAATATCAAATATGAAATTGTCTTTAAAACCTGCTTTTTAGACTTTAATAAGAATTGTACATGTTTAAACATATTAATATATGTGATACCTTAAAAGCTGAAAGGAAACCAGACCCCTGTTTGAGAACCGAAAAATGATTGTGTTATGTGAACTCATCTGCACTCGCTGACTTTGCAGACTACTGTAAAACACTTCATTTATGCTATAGGACAAAAAGCTAAATATAAAGGAGGGTGAAGAAGTCTCAACTATGCTCATTAAAGAAGGGAAGGTCCTAGTGAACACTGCTGCTGCTCTTGCCCAGGATGTAAAGAACTCTACATCTGTAAGTTCTTAAGTTTTAACATCATCTTTGGTATCATCAGATGTATTTTGCTATTGAAAAAGAAAAAAAGGAAACCATTTTGTTGCGCAGGACCTGGAGATCCACCAGGATGGGTTAGTCCTGTGGAGCACCAAACTGCGACACCACGTGGATCAGCTGGTGATGCAGATATCTGTGAGAGGAGTGCTTGACCTGGTATACAGAGCTGAGGACCATGCCACCCAGTTCCAAAGACTCGCAAATGCGCTAGAGAGGTGATAAACTCAAGAAATATGAAATCAGGGCAGATCTACAGCAGTGTCAGATTTAATTTAAAGAGGTAGTAGCTTAATCCACTAAAGGAATTCCCCGCCCATGGCAGGGGAGTTGGACTAGGTGATCTTTAAAGGTCCCTTCCAACCAAACCATTCTATGATTCTATGATCAATTTTTATTCCCCATTTCAAGTGCTTTTTACTTTTAATGCGGTGTACCTTCATTAAATCATATGGAGGGGTTTGATTAGTCTCACACTTTAAGTGGCTGACTTACACAGTAACTAGTGACTTACCAAATGCCCAGTGAGTCTATCATGGTATGGCTTGGAAAGCTTCAGGTCTGTGTATGAATACTTCTTGACAATATATCTCTGAATCTCATCAAGAAGTTATTTCTACTACGCCTCCATTACTGTTGCTTTCAAAGCATCTTGCAGAAATGAGTGGGTTGCAATCTCAGATCCGCTCAAATGCATTCTTAGAATTTGAAAGTTGGGAAGTCATTCCAGTTAATGGAAATTAATCTTCTATCCCAGGAATCCTTCTAGGATTCTTATTATTTTGTCTTTTAAAGTCATCAGATATGTGTTAAAAGTTTAATCATATCACATTGGAAATTTTATGTGTATTTTAAGTTTGAGAACAGAAAATTTGAGTAAACTAAGTAACACTGAACAACTCTGCTGACTTCACTGCAGCCAGATAAATTCAATAAAGCAAAATTTAATACAAGATAGCTTTCAGATCTTAGTTTCCCCCCTAGATTCTGTATTTCTGTACTTTGCTTTTGAGTTCCAGCTAGGAACCTGTTTCTTTTCTGTTCTATTTAGGCGATGTGATTTGTTTGTTCTAAGTGACTAAGTGGCTGTATAAATTGAAAAACTGACTTAAACCAAAAGGAACAAAATAAAAAAAAAAATAGATGAAAAGGAACAAAACAGAACACAAAGGAACAAAACAGAAAAAAAGATGAAAACCTTCTTTGAACTGAGTTTTCCAGTTCAAAATAATGAACTTAAAGCCCATTATGCCACATAAGGCAAGGTGCGCTCATTTTTTTGAGTGCATCATGTATTCTAGAAAGGTGTACATGTTGTAATTGAAGATGTGGAACTTTGTGCTTGATTAAGATGCTCTCATGAAAACAGAATTACTTCTTAATTCTCTGTTTAGTGGCCTCTCTAAAGTAAGAAATGTGACTCTGAACACAACTGCTGCTGTCTACACCCACTCCAGTGTTAAAACTGTGATTGAAAGAACAGAGAGTTTGGCAGATGATGCGTCTAGAGTTGTGAATGGCCCTTTAGATTTAGTAAGTATCTATTTTTGTGTTTTAATTAATGTCTTTCCCTTTCTTGTTCTAATTGTTTTTTGCACTTGTTGAAATTTGAGTTGTCTTGATGGAGCCGTGTATGGCAGCCTCTGCTACCAACTAATATATACTGTATACTGGATATCTACTCCAAGGCAGTAATGGTACCAGATTTCATGTTCTATTTACCTTGCTTTTCTTTCTGCCACAGTACTATTTTACCAATTTTTAATGTCTGTTGCTTGGTTAGCTGGACTGGACTTGATTCTATGAGTGTTTTGATCAGTCATCTGACATGTTTGTAGAACTTAAGTTCCCAAACCTCTGGCACTCCCGTCCACCTTTGGAATTATTCGACCATCTCCTTGTTTGACCTGTTGCTTCTCCATTTCTGTCTAGATATTCCCAACTGCAACTATTTTGCTTAGTTGGGGACACTTCATAACCAAATGTCTGTCTGTGTCTCATCTGCTGTCCCTCTGCCTTGCAAGATTATCAGGTGGTTGTTGAAACAGTAGATTAAAAAGACCTGACTATTTACCAGGCTGACCTTGTTAGTTTTGTATTACTCTGTTTCCCCCCTTTTATCTCTTTCTGCTTTTCCTGATTGTAAACCCAAGGAAGGAATGGGCTGTTTTACAAGGGTCATGCACATTATGTCTGGTGAAACAAATATGCGACAGTGCATTTACATGGTAGTGATCAAAATAGTTGGTGTTGTTTCGTGAGCCTGTGTGTTATTTTATAGCACTCTGTCTTATTAAAGCTTTGTACAGCATGACTCCTTCAAGGTACTCTTCCAGATTTTCCAGTGGAGAAATTGATTTCTCACTTTTGAGAGATCTCACTTTAAATTGCTCAGTGCTGGGAATTTTGACTTAGGCCTGGAACTAGAATTACTGATGTTCCAGAAGGCAACACTGAATCAGTAGCAGTGTTCAGACTGAAATTTGGTAGGTTTTGTTTCACAGTTGTCTTTTCTTAGTAACTTACAAAGGGATTCAATGTCACATTCTTGGACAAATGATTGCAACTTGTATTTTTGATTGATGCTTAATAAAGTAATAAATGGAATATCTCATAATGAGAATGTTCAATAACTTGAAGTAGACAAACACAGATACTTAAATATTTTCAGTTGAATTTCTGTTTTTCGTATGTGGCGACTTATGTCTGTGTTTTTCAGCCAGAGGAGTCTCTCAGTCGTCTTGGAAAAAAAACTCTACTGCTTAGCTCCAAATTTCAGAATGAAGCTAAAAATCTGAAGAAGAGGAGTGACGGTCAGTTTGTTAGAGTTCACGTTTCTGCTTCTATTTCTTTTTCTAGATCTTGTTTTGCAGGGGTTTTTAATGTGGGTTTTGTGTGGTTTTGGTTTGTGTGGTTTTTTTTTTAAATAAGCATAAGGTAAAATACTGCATATGACTATATACATATTTTCATACAATTAAGATCAATGTATTGTGGAGGCATGTAGTATTTTACTTTTTTGGGTAAGAATATAATTTTTCTCTGTAAACTTCTAAAAAATTGGCCTTCATTATATCTCATTTACCTCCAAGCAATGCTTTTTTTTAAATGGCTGTTTTTCCAAATTTTATGTATTAAATCAGTAGAGATTGTGCAGCAGATGAAACACAAACATAATTATTGAAGAAATCCATTCATCCCATTTTATCTAATAAATCATGGATTACACAAGTATGTAGGATGATATATTTAAGTCATAGTAATTTTTACTTGTTCCTTTTACACAACTGAAATAGAGCAACAAGCTGAACTTTATTGTCTGTACAAAATGCCTTTTGGCTCAGAGCCCCTCTATAAATTCCAAAATCCTTTTGGATTGTCCAAAGACATCAGCAAACCCTTGAAGTCTGCACCATGGAAATTTAAAAGCATTTTGAACACAGACTTCGAGTAAGAACAGAGGCTGGCCCTGAGGGAAATTTTGGACAAAATTGGATGGAAAGTGAATGTTTCACAGACATAAACTGTAACTGTAAAACAGTCTTTGCTTTTAATATCAATGCATTTACAAATATGTATACATTTTATGTAATTCAGATGGACAGAATACACAGCTTTTTTGTTCCTTCTGTTCTACATATTTTTATTTCTACTGAGAGGATTCTGCAAACAGATCACAAATAAATAAAAGAAAAACACTTCTTTGACTCCTGTCAGATATCACAAAAAGTGAAGAACATCATAAAAAATTATTAGGGTCACTTGGAGGGTGGCAGAGCCCTGGCACAGGCTGCCCAGAGAGGCTGTGGAGTCTCCTTCTCTGGAGATATTCAAAATGTGCCTGGATGTGATGCAACTTGCTGTAGGTGAACCTGCTTTGGCAGGGGTGTTGGACTGGATGATCTCCAGAAGTCCCTTCCAACCCCAACCAGTCTGTGATTCTGTGATAAGAATTCACAATCATGTAATCATCTTAATTTATAGCCTTTTCTTGACAGTGTTTCTACTGATTCAGTCTGATGGAATTGACCAAAAAAGGGTAACTTTGAATGGACAGTGTCCACAGGGGTTTATCTGTGCATACCACGTTCATTTTGCATTCCTGTTTGTAAAGTGCTCTTTCTGTTGAAAAGAACAAAAAAGTTCCATTGATTAAATAAGTGACTGCTTGTTATCCCTACACATAGGGTTTGTGTGGGTTACATGCTGTTTGTTTATGCATGGAAACATCACAGTTATTTCTTCCAATAGGCCTTTTATTTGGATTGAATGGATTGAACAAAAAGGTAGAAACGATTCAGGAAAGCACTAATAAAATTGTCAACCAGCTTAATGATTCCATTTTGACACTAAAAGCATTGCCTAATGGTAAGTGAAATTCATATTGACATTCTCCTTATTACATAACCCTCCAGTACCATTGAAATAAAATCCTGTTCATTGTCTGAATGCAGAGACCTAGCAATAAGCTAAATAAACTATACCGGAGACTTATTTAGCCTCCTCCCATACTAGAAATGTGTTTGGTTTTGGTTTTTTTTAGTAAACCCATGAAACATAACTGGGTTATGTAAGGTTTGTAGTCTTATTCCCGTGTCACACTGCTGTAAATCAGGAGGGGCTCTGAAAGCAATATAACTTCACTGATACAAGAGAGTGAAGTCCTGAATATTTAATCCCACATGGAGAGAAACTTATATGTGGAACTGTGAGGTTTTACTTCCTTTTGGTAGTTTGTTTCAAAATTGTTTATACTGCACTGTGAATCTTATGCTTCTAAATATTTTCTTCTTGTAAATGCTGACTTCATTTAACCAATTAAAATGGTCTTCCTGTGCTTTTCCAAAACAAAAGAATTCCCTTTTAAAAAAAAGTCATTATTTTGGATAAAGGCAAGACCTAGAGTTCATGGAAACTAATACAGAAAATATCTTTGAAGTTGTGAATAAGAGGGTCTGAAATACTTAATAATGAGAAAATGAAAAACCTTATAATGTTTTTTTGAAGGTACAAAAACACTGATAAAGACCTCCTGCCTGTGTTGTTGGGTTGTACCGTATATCCAGATTAAAATGTTAAGTCCAAAGCTTTAAAATACCCATTTTACAACTCAGGCTCTTAACTCACACTAAAGGGTGATATTAGTGATAATGTTACACTGGATATTAATCGCAGGGTGCTACCTAACATAAAGCTACTCACTGCAAATTAAGGCATTATTGAAACCATAGGATTGTCCTCCTTAACTCACAGCTTAACATTGTTTGCTTTCAGTTTTGTTGTCACATTTCTTGAAGTTTCCTTTTTTTTTTAACTGGGCAGAGATTCATGGTGGTGTTACCCTCTGTATATAAGGTACTGGTGGTGAAAAGGGATTGCTGCAGACCTAAATCAGGCCTTTTGTGCCAGCTGCTGCATCTTCCCACTGTTCTGGGTACAGGGGGGGTATAAGGGGCAGGCTGAGACTGGAAGTGGTGCACTCACTATATTTGTAGCCCAAAGCAAAGGGTATAATAGAGCTTCTGCCTCACCAGCTTTCTGCAGGATTTGAAATGTAAGTCTCAGACTAGTGACTCTGAGTGCCAGCACTCATTCAGGGAACTTAAACACTATGAGCCTGATTATATGCATACACCTACCTGTTGGGATAGACAGAATCAAGTTCCCCATCGTTGCATGCTGTGACTGTATTCTATTCAGAGCCGGTCATGAAAAATAAAACATCTCCTAGAATTCAAAACTTGGATTCATCAAGTCTTTTGATCAAAAGACTTCAAAGTCTGACCTGACAAGCCTTAATTAAAATTGCTGCAAATTCTATCATTTATATATGTGTGTAATATATTTTATTATTATATACCTCTGTGTGTGTATGAACAAATGTAACTACATCTATAGCTGTATCAATATCTGTATCACCAGCTTGGGAATATTTACAGTGTGTTTTGTTCAGGGCCATAGCTGTGGCCATTTCCCAACTTAATAAGTGGACAAGAGGAGTTGCACCAGCCTCCTGGCACTCTAGTTTCATAGGCAGTAAACTTCTACTCTGTAAGCCGTGGCACGTTCAACAGTTAAGCCAAGTTGAATCACAGTAGGTCTTGGTTTGGAGCTCCCCTCACAAACTGAAGAATACAAACAAGAATATGACTCTTCCTAGGAAAGGAAGGTAACTGACAGCTTCTCTAGTGTTTTGGCTGGGATTGTAACTGTGTTGTTATGAAGCCAGGCATTTGTTACTCCCAAGAATGTATGAAAGCTGTGAATATTTTTTAAGCTGGGACCTGTGTTTCAGATACAAAGAAATACATGCTTGAGGTGAAAGAGCTGGCTGTGTCTGCAAACACAAGTGCTGTAGTGGGTTTAAGTCACTTTGGGGATTTCTCTCAGAAGCTGCTGAATACTTCTTCTACGTTGTCCCGAGTTAATGACACATTGAGGAAAACTAGTGAACTTATAACTGATTCATCAAAAGCTGGTAAGTTTGCTGCTTCATTGCTCTTTAGAAATGTCACTGCTTGCAGAAGCAGTACTAATACTTAAATTTTAATAGGTATTAAATATGAGCCTGATGGACTGAAAAAGTTTCTTCCTAATACAATAAAAATGTGCTAACTTCTTAAAAGACCTCTAGAGGAGTCACGTGATACCCTTAAGTATGCACATTCCTTACTGATGTTTAAAACTGCTGAAACGATGATCAGAAACAGGCCACCTTGGCTCAGTATTTTAACAATGAACAATACATTTTTTTCAACCTGCTTCAACATTTCATTTATGTTTTGGCAGCAATCACAGCTGAGAAACAAGTTAAAGAAGTCGAAGCACAAGCAAGTCTTTTATTCGATAGGCTGAAGCCTTTGAAAATGCTAGAGGAGAACTTGAACAGAAACTTGTCTGAAATTAAAGAGCTCATCAGCCAGGCCCGCAAGCAGGCAGCATCTGTGAGTTCCCACATCCCAGACCTAACTGGCTTCACTTTTACTTTTAGCAGAGAAGCTCTTTGAGATAGAAAGCCCCAAATTTACTGTCAAAGTACCTGGTCGTTCTGAAGTCTCATTGAAGTCGAAAAGCACTGACTGATGCTAAAAGCATACTGACAGGGCTCTTGGTACATTTTATAGTTTTAGCTTTGAGTTTCTTACTGCATTTGTGAGTTTGTCAGAAGAGCAAGGCGGTAATTTATGTACTATTTCCTTTTGTTTCCTATAAAAATAATGAAATACAATATGTCAGAAAGCAATCGCAAAGATATTTTGGTGAGGAGGAGACAAGTGAGGAGATGGTGCTACCATTCTTTTTAGGACAAGAAGTTATTTTCTAAACTTATTTTAGAGATTGATGTGGGGTGCCTCTGTATAACATCAAATATCATTACAAATTTTTTAACAAGAGTGTTGATTCTGTGGGTAAATTTGCCATCTATGCCCTGCCGTGTCCATATGTTCTTTTTTGCAAGAAGCTGCCATGCATCCAGAATACTTTAAGACAAATAATGTACTTGTTTTTAAATCATTGCACCTCCCTTAAAGACAACAAAAGTGAATCAACTGTACTATGGACCTCATTAAACTGTGAGGGGAATATAAAAATGACTGCAGTCAGTAATTTTTGGTATGCCTTTGGCTTTAGTACAGGTATTTTATTGTAAGGTTTAGGGAAGTTTTGTTTTAAAAAATAAAAGGCTTTCAGTTCTTTCTGCAAATCTCCTTAATTATATAGATATTGCTTCTCTGTCACAGTCTACTGAAGCTAATGAATCCACTGCAGAAAAGAGGGAGTAGGATTTTCTGCAGTGTAAAAAGAATTATTAGCAAAATCCCTCCTTTTCCAATTTCAAGAGTTTGGTCTGGTTTTTTGTAAACTTTTACTGGAGGAGAGAAACTTTATACATCTGTGTCCATAAGCATCTGCATATGTGCTTTATGTATGTAGTTGTTACAGGCGTATTCAATGAAGTTGATGAAGAGGCTTTTCTGTTGTTAAAATGAGTTTTCTGTCATTACGCTACCAAGCTCCTAGGAGTTCGGCTGCACTTAGCTTTAATCGATGTCCTATCAGTATACTAGACAGTGTTCAAAGGAGTTAGTGGTGTGACAACAGGAATATGAATTTCTCTACTTAATCTTAAAAAAAGTTTAACTTGTGATATATTTACAAATGTGTTTTTTGAATAATCGTGTAAACTGTGTTGTAAAACTTTATTATTGCAACTGTCTGCTTTTTAATTTTTTTTAGTTTTTTCTCTCAACATAGACTAGGAATTGTTTCTTTTTTTTAAAAAAAAAAGGTTTTGAATTTCTATATCTTTATTTTCTGATATTATTACAGTGGCTTTTACTGATATACAGGCTTCTGACTCAAGATTTATTGTTATTTTCTGAGGTACTTGAATAGTTTAATTTACTGGCTTCAAATCTTCTGAGTGAGTGAATTATAACAGATATCATTCTTTTCTATTTGTGAATCTTTGTCAAGTGATACCTGAGAGATTGCTAAGATCTAACCCAGGTAGCAATACTTAGATTGCGTGAAAGTCTCTCAGCAAATGGCTAGTGTTTGGTCGGAAGCTAAGTACGTATACCAGAAATACATGTTGTATACACTGAGACTTATTTAGATTCCATTTTCTCCTTTCCCTCTCAGATTAAAGTTGCAGTATCAGCAGACAGAGACTGCATTCGTGCCTACCAACCGCAAATTTCGTCTACAAATTACAACACCTTAACGCTCAATGTGAAATTAACCAGATAACCTCCTTTTCTACCTGGGTAGCAATGGAAAGGTAAGCTTGTGGCATACATTTCCTGAAGGTGATGGCAGTCAGATGTTTTAAATGACCATATATGTGTTTTTTCCTACTTGACTTCAAACTAAGTATCCAAGTGAGGCCCCTTGCAGACAAATGTGTTCACTAGGGGTGGAATTATTTTTGTGCCTTAGATGATTCCAGAGATCCTCAAAGGTAGAGAAGAAAAGCTTCTGATTCCTTAGCATTGCCTCTTGGCCGTGTCATGAAACTCCACCTTCCTTTTCCCATGCGGTGCATTAGCCTCATGGAATATAACACTCTACGTGATGCTTTGATTTGCCATGCTGGAGTATATCAAGCAATTTGCCTGGTATCACAGAGAAAGAATTTGGCCCTCATGAGCATGGTGCATCCACCCACTTGAAAAGGAGCATTACATCTCACTGTCATGTTGCCTTCCTCTTCCTTCCCTCTGTAGTCCTAATAATTGCACACCTATTAGCTCCTTGTGGCATGCTATCATGTAATAGTACTTTTTCACAGACTGTCAGGTCACTTCACAGACACTCAGAAGTGCATTTTCTATATGTCTCCGTGTGTGTGTACATCACATGTTTTTTATGTATCTCTAAAGAAAACATTCACCTACTTGGGTATAAGCTGAGTTTTTTTTTGTTTCATTATAAGTGCAAATTAGTAAAATCAGGCCCAGAAAGTTTTTGCTAAAAGTCAATTCCTATAGTATGGGATGTAGGGACAGAAGTCTGGGAAGGCTTTCTCAATGTTACATGTTAAAATACACAAACCAGAAACTACACGTTCGATGTTATCTATTAGAATAAGCCCTGTTGTTTTCCAGACAGACTTCCTTGCAGTAGAGATGCGACGTGGTAAGGTAGCTCTCCTTTGGGATTTGGGCTCTGGATCAGCAAGAGTGGAATACCCTGATTTTCAAATTGACAACAACAAATGGCACAGAATACATGCAACCAGGTAATTAAAATGAGAATGGCATAAATGTTAGACAGGAAAATTTATCATTATTTTTTTAATGAGGTGGCTGTATGTAGGAATGTCCAGCTACTTAGTGAGTGAACTTGGCATAAACAACACAAACCATCTTCTGAGTTTTGCAGTAACGAGATTTTTGTTGTCCTTAAAAAGAGAAGCTGATAGCATGTGTTGATTAAGCCTAGTGATTTCCAGAACTATTTATTAGTATCTGTACTTGGCAGGTTTGGAAAAACAGGTACACTCACCATAGAGGAAATGAACTCCGATCAGAAGCCTTCATCTAAATCTGCAACCTCTCCGGGGACAGCCAGCATACTGGATGTTAATAAATCAACACTAATGTTTATCGGAGGACTTGGAGGGCAAATCAAGGTTAAATTCTGAGATCAACTTTCTGTAAAATGTTTTTATCATGTTTGAGATATACTTTTGACTGAGAAATAATTGCATGAATTGGTTCCTTCATCAAGAAATGCCAGATACTCGGAACATAAAGCAAAGATGCTGTAAGGATGTTCTAGTATCCTGAAGTTAATTTTCCCTGGAAATTTTTGCATAAAGTTTTAACCCGGACAGGCTGTGTGTGCATGCATGATACATAGACATTACGCAGTGAGTTTGTTTTTCTTTTCCTTCTTCCATGGCTTCTTTTAGTTTGCCATTGTTATTCATGCCATGAGGCATGTAAGCAAGTATTTTGCTTTTTCACTTGCTGCAAAACTAATCTATTATGATTTAAATGATAATTGTTAATGGTTTTGCTAAAACATGTTGTTCTTTTATTATGATTTATATCTAACAAAGTTAGAGTTCAAGGAAAACAACCAAGCAAAAATTTGTCTGCATAATTTTCAGAGTACTTAATGTTAATTGTATTCATGAAGTATTTCTTGTCTCACAGAAATCGCCTGCTGTTAAGGTGACCCATTTTAAAGGGTGCATGGGAGAGGCATCTCTGAATGGCAAATCTATTGGTCTTTGGAACTACATGGAAAGAGAGGGCAAGTGCAATGGCTGTTTTGGAAGGTATTTTGTCTCACACTCTTTTTTGGTAACAGATTTAGAGTAATTTATATCTGTAATATGTATTTCTGTGCTAGCTAAAAATAATGAACTCTGACAAATTGCAGTGTTTCATTGATCATTAACTTGCAGTTCTGAATACACTAATCTGAATGTGTCAGTTATGTCAAATAATTCATTTTATGGAATTTTGTCACTTATTAATCACTTTTTCAGAGGAGTTCTATTGCTGTGGTTTATTTTGTACGTTGAAAGTAGGGACTGCCAGTGAACCAATCTGTTTTGGAATGTTTGCTTTCCAGTAATGTCCAGCAAGACAAATTTATTCTTTCCTGGGATAAGAAACAGTGTAAAGCTTTTTTATAAAAAAATCCATAGAAAAACTGTAACCACGGAGATTGCTACTGTTCTTGTAGTCATTGTGAAAGGGGATTGTACTATTTTTATGTTTAAAGAATTGAAAAGAGATATGCTTGACCATGTTCCCTTTTGTGGAATGTTTCATGGCTGAGTAGCAGAGGGTGCTGCTTGATTGCTTGATTGTATGAGATTTTTTTACAAGTATATTGCAGGGAAAGGGGCTAATAGAACATTTACTGTAAGTGCAATTAGGCAAAGCATTTTGATAAATGGATGACACCTTTTAAGTAAGAGGGTCTATGTTGTGACAATTACTTTTTCCCTTAAGAAATCATTGGGATTTTTTATACATCATGGAAGAACATTTTTTCTCTTGTATATGTCCTTCCCCATGGGTAAATCGTGTATTGTGAGATTCTGTAATGAAAGTGGCCTTTGGCTGAAATCCTTCATAACATGAAGATTCAGGTCTCTTTCCACACTTTCTAATCATACTGCCTGGGGGCTGCTCCAACTGATCTAATTTGTATATTATATTTAAAAATGACTGGAAAAACACAAGTCTAACATTTTTAATCCTGTTTTCTACTTCCTTAGCCCACAGGATGAGGACACTTCATTCCATTTTGATGGCAGTGGATACTCAGTTGTGGAGAAGGCGCTCCGCTCAACAGTGACTCAGATAATAATATTTTTCAGTACCTTTTCACCTAATGGGCTGCTTCTGTATCTTGCTTCAAATGGCACTGTAAGAAAATAGATCAGACTCTTAACCTGTCAAAAACCATATTTAGATCACTTGATGGATTCTTGCTTTCTCCTTTGTTACTTTTTCAGCTTACGTACATTAAACCAAGTTGTATTTGTGTAGATTATCACCTGTGATTGACATCATAAGCCAAAGGAGTAAAGACAGGAGCCTTTAGAGCAAATATTCACATATACTAAGGCCAAAATTAAGCAACCAAAAGAATTCTCCATAATTTGTTTCAATTCTAGACTAAAATGAATGATTATTTAACTAAAGGCAAGAAAAAGAAACAGTATGGACAACAAACTAGTTTTCTTCAATTGGAGGAACCTTTGCAGAATGTAAAATCATTTGAAACTGAGCTTGCAGAAGGACAATAGAATACTGAATAGGCATGTTGAATTAAATCCATGAGACAGGAATTCAGTAAACGGAAAAACTCCCTGCAACAGAAATATAACCCAGACCCATCTCCAGACCTTCATTGTCATGTCATGCAGTGTACCGCATACTTAGCTGGTGATTTTCTTTTCCTGAATGAGGACAAAGCTTTGTTTAGGTACAGAATGTTTCAGAATCACTGCATTATTTGTTTGCTTTGTTATGTGCTCACTGCAAGACTACATTGCACAATGATATCTGACTGAAGTTTCACAGTGCACAGGGAGCACTTTTAATACAATTCAGACAGACTTTTTTACTATGTGAAGAAGCTTTTTGCTTCTTGCAGAAAGAACTTTGTAGCGTTTGATTGTTATGCTAACAGTCAAATCAAATTATTCTCAACTTCATCCAAAAAAAATCAAATGTGACATTTGTTATTTAAACCTTCCTCTGCCAAGTAATCAAGACTGATGTTGCTTTTAAGAATAACAAAAACAAAATGATGTCCTTGTGAGGTACATGTAACTTAATTTTGCTAAACATAGCAAAGATAATGATTGTGGGCCTAACAAATAGTCTAAGTACAAGAGTTACTATACCTTTTTCACACAGTAGGCCAAATATGCATCTTTTGGAAGATTTTATTTCCAGGAATTTAATCTGTTTGGTTTTTGTGTTGGTTTTTTTTTTTTTCTTGCCAGAGAGATTTCTTGTCCCTTGAGCTTGTTGATGGCAAGGTGAGACTGACTGTTGATCTAGGTTCAGGACCTCTTGCTCTTACAACAGAAAATCGTTACAACAATGGAACATGGTATAAAATTTCATTCAGTCGGAACAAGAAACAAGGTAGGCTACAGACTGAAAAAAACAGGTGTCTGCACATTTACAAATACAGGTATCTAAGATAGCCACAGGGGACATCACTGCAACCAAATTTGGTCACTTCCAGTGCAGTTCCTTTAGTAGCCACACCTATGTTACTTTGCTTTTAGAAGGACAGCAGCGTAAATCTTATTCTTGGTTTCGCACATCTTATAAACAGCAGGCAGTGCAGAAACTGCCAGACAAAAATGTATCAATAGTCCTTAAAGAATGACAGGTTTTTGTCCAAGTCTGTATATCAGGGATCATGTTTTCTGTTCTGCATTTTAATTCATACCCAGTACAACAGTATTTTGGGGCCAATGTTTGGGAAGTAATGCGTTACAAATAATACGTGTTAATAGCTGTAAGATATTCTCATATATATTTTCCTGTACACTTCCCCAGATCTGGTTTTGTCAGAGAAGAATGAATCATATTAACAGAATAGCTGGAAGTACTCATTCTGAAAATAAGAAGATTGGCCATACATGTTTGAGCCAATGAATACATTTTCTTTTATTAGAGGCAAGATTGCCAAAATGGAAGAACATGTATTCGTGTCCTTTTCCAGATCTTTACTTTCTTTTCTTTGCAGGAATTTTGGCAGTCATGGATGCATATAACCTCAATTACAAAGAAACCAAGCAAGGAGAGTCCCCTGGGGTTGCCTCAGACCTGAATCGCTCTGATAAGGACCCAATCTTTGTTGGTGGGCTGCCAAGATCGAGGACTGTGAGGTAAAGTGTCCTCTTGCTTTTCTTCCTTTGCTAAGACTCTTGTAAGTAGAGGGAAAGACTGTAACAAACTCTATCTCCATTGAAATTAGTGAAAATGAGGGAAGTCTGAAGTCTTGTTTATGGCCATGTATACCACAGAATTATCTGTCCTTTGCCTTTGGACTCTAATAAGGTGCTTGTCCCCCAATAAGGTCTGACACCGCAGTTGAGATCAGAGGCAAGCTTGTGATTTCCACGTCAGCAGCTGCCGCAGTAGCTGCCTGCTCTTTGTGTCAGACTGCAGCAAGCATTCAGCGCTGCTGCCTGGAACAGTGCTCCTTCGGTCTCTACCTGTGTGAGCCTTCTGTTTTCCAGCTGGCATTGATGGGCAAAACTGCACTTCAGGATAAAAGGTCTACTTCAGATAGGAATTCTCGTAATTCAGTTTTGAAACTGGGAACAGAAGAGAAATAGTTGTGAACAGATCAACAAAAAACATTACAAATATATATTTTATAGCATGTCTCTAGTTTATACGTTTTGTATTGCATTTGCTGAGGTTGTAAAGTCACATTTTTTCCAGTGCCTTCACTTTGGAAAGATAAACATGGCAAAACACAATCTAATTAAACTGTCTGCGTGCTCTTGACAATAAGGTAAATTCCAGGACAATATTGGTCTTTCTGCAGTTATTGCAGAGGTGCAGACTTGTTAATATTAGCTGGCATAGCGGCCTGTAAGGGATTATGGCAGGACAGCCTTACATTTCTCTGACTTAAACCTGGAAACAAATTAGGCATCCTCCAGACTTAAGAAATGAAAAAGAACTGCTAGGTAGTAGAAAGCTACAGTTACCCTCTCACACAAAAGCCATTGCTCCAGATCTTTACTTTCTTTTCTTTAGTTTTGAAACGTTAAAGTTTTCAATGTTAAAGTTTTGAAAAGTGGCCTGGCCTGGCGATGCAGCACTACACACTTGTATGTTTCCATTTGGGGACAATGTCTGACCCTTTTTAAGATCACAATTAATATCTGCTAAGAGTAAACCCCAAACTACCCCTGTTTTCACTTACGCTGGGCTGACTGCATTGTCTAAAACTGATCTCTCTTTTTCTTATTGAAGAGAACTTAATCCTTTCTCCCAAGAGATTGCAAATACTACTACTTGGTAAAAAAGCCTTGTTTTGTGTTTCAGGAAAGGTCTTAATAGTAGAATGTATGTGGGATGCATCAAGAATCTGGAAATATCCCGTTCAACCTTTGACTTGCTTAGAAATTCGTATGGAGTAAGAAAAGGCTGTGTATTGGAGGTAGGAGACTTTTAGGTTTTGTGACCTGATCTTTTTGTTATTGATTGTTACTGAACAATGAATAGTAATGTTTGTGAAAGAATATAGTGAGTTGAAATGGGTTTATCTTGAAAAATTCTAAAATAATCTAATCTATACTTGAATTTTTTTCTTTTTTCTTACTAG